TGGGTTGGGAAGATCCCCTGGAGAAGGGAAATTCTACCCACTCCAGTATTCTGGCCTTGAGAATTCCATGAACTGTATAGTCTATGGGGTCGCAAAGAGTCGGACACGACTGAGCGACTTTCACTTTTCAGGGTTTACTGATGCTTTCTATTTATCAAGCTTCCCACTGGTCATCTGTCACCCTTCAGTAAGTCTAAAATGTGCCTATTTTGTTATTTTAGTTGCTAAGTTGTGTCTGAATCTTTGGCTACTCTTGGTAGCCCGCCAGACTCCTATGTCTATGAGATTTCCCAGGCAAGAATACTGGAGTGGGTTGCCACTCCTTCTCCAGCGGATCTTCCCGACTCAGGGATTGAACCCACGTCTCTTGTGTCTCCTGCATTGGCAGGTGAGTTCTTTACCGCTGAGTCACTAGGGAAGCCCAAAATGTTCAAATACACCCATTTTACAGTGTATGTTTGTATATTTGAGTGTCTAAGAGATAGGTGATTTATCCAAGCTAGGAAATGATTGAGTCAAGTTCAACCCTGCTCTCAGATTCAAGTTGGTCCTTGTCTCATGATCAGATATCTTTTCTAGAAAGACAGTGAGATGGGGGTGGACACTTGAGAGATTTTCCTCATCAAATCCTAAAAAATCAGACCTGGAAGGATGCTCAGAGATGGTGGAGTTCAGCTCCCTAATTTTACAAATGAAGAGATGGCAATTTGAAGACATTAAGTTGATAGAATATCATATGGTATTAACAGTAAGTGGCAGGCCTAGGACTTGCAGCCACTTGAGTGGAAGTCTCAAGTCTTGGGTTTTCACCACATCAGGCTACTCCCAGAAATGAAAATCTCAACTGCTGTGTAGATGGAGAAGGGGCTAGGTGGATCTGGTGGGCTGAGTGGGAAGAAACTATTACAGACAGCCCGGCGCTTGTGGCCAGGGCCGTCCCCTGCCCTGACCCCCTCTGCATATGGAAAGAAGCAGTGAGCCTTTCTCAACCACCTTCTCTCTTTAATCAGAAAGGGCGTTGCAAATGTTTGCAGATATCCCATAAACACTGGCCCCTGCGCAGAATGGACCCAGTGCTGGTTTTACAACTGGAAAACTTCTGAATGTGGGTCTTTTAATTTTGGAGGTTCTTACGGCAATGGCAACAACTTTGAGAAGAAAACAGAATGTGAAGAAATCCGCAGGAAACCTGATTTTCTAATAAGAAGTCAGCCCTCCCTGGAGTCAAGCTTGCTCTAGGGCATTAGAAGGTATTTTTGTGAATAAGAAGTGCATTCCTTCACCTCCTTGTCTCTGCCGTGTTCTTTTTATTTTTTTTAAATTAATTAATTAGGCTTCGCCAAGTTTTAGTTTCGGCATGTGGGACTTAGTTCCCTGACTAAGGATAGAAATCAGGCTCCCTGCATTGGGAGCACACAATCTTAGCCACTGGACCTCCAGGGAAGTCCCCCTGGTGTGTTCTTTTTTTTTTTTTTTTCAACCTGAGTCATGGAATTTAATCACATCATTGTTCACAGCATTCCCTCTCCTTTTCATGTCGGTGGGGGAGATGTGGTCCGGGAGTCCCGAGGGGATGGCTGAGAACTGCCCACAGACAGCACAGCAGAATGGCCCCCAGGACCAGGCAGCCCATGGGTCCACAGAACACTGACCCCACCCCACCCAGCTCCTAAAGCCGCACCCAAGAATGGGCCAATCCAGGGTCTCCGAGTTCGAGGGAAAGCAGAGGCCATGAGGATAGACTCAGGGAGAGCAGTCACCAGGGGCGATCAGACCCTGGACCTGCAGCCTGAGGTCCCTGCTGCTGCTGCTGCTAAGTCGCTTCAGTTGTGTCCGACTCTGTGCGATCCCATAGACGGCAGCCCACCAGGCTCCTCCGTCCCTGGGATTCTCCAGGCAAGAATACTGGAGTGGGTTGCCATTTCCTTCTCCAAGGCATGCATGCTAAGTAGCTGCAGTCATGTCCGACTCTGTGCGACCCCATGGACAACAGCCCACCAGGCTCCTCTGTCCACAGGATTCTCTAGGCAAGAATACTGGAGTGGGTTGCCATTGCCTTCTCCAATCCCCTGGTGTGTTCTTTATTTTTTAATTTTTTTTAGAGGATAATTTAATTAGAGGATAGTTGCTTTACAATATTGCATTGGTTTCTGCCGTGGATCAAAACGAATCAGCCATAGGCATACATATGTCCCCTCCCTCTTGAACCTCCCTCCCACTTCCCACCCATTCCCGCTCCTCTGGGTCGTCACAGAGCCCCAGGTTGAGTTTCCTGAGACATACAGCAAATTCCCGTCGGCCATCTAGTTTACATTCGGTACACGTTTCCATGCTACTCTCTCCATTCATCCCCCTCTTTCCTTCCTCCCCCGTACCACTGTCCACTGTCCGTAAGGCTGTTTTCTATGTCTGCATCTCCACTGCTGCCCTGCAAACAGGTTTGTCAGTACCATCTTTCTAGATTCCATATATGCATGTTAATATACGATATTTGTCTTTCTCTTTCTGAATTATTTCACTCTGTATAATAGGCTCTAGGTTCATCTACCTCATTAGAATTGACTCAAATGCTTTCTTTTTATGACTGAGTAATATTCCACAGATATATGTATCACAGCTTCTTTTCCATTCATCTGTTGATGCATGTCTAGGTTGCTTCCATGTCCTAGCTATTGTAAATAGTGCTGCCTGAACACTAGGGTACATGTGTCTTTTTCAGTTTGGTTTGCTCAGGGTGTATGCCGAGAAGTGGGATTGCTGGGCTATAAGGTAGTTTTATTCCTAGTTTTTTAAGGACTTTCCCAACTGTCTCCTATAGTGGCTGTACAATTTACATTCCTATCAAGAATGCAAGAGAGTTTGGTGTGTCTTTAAATTACCTACCTCTGTGCCTGAAATTCTACAAATATTGCCAAAATGTTTAAAATCTCAAGACTTTATTTTTAAAATATATACATACATACAAGTATTAATATACTGTGGGGATTAAGAGTCATTCACACTTACTACTGGAGAAGGAAATGGCAACCCACTCCATCTTTGCCTGGTGGGATACAGTCCATGGGGTTGCAAAGAGTCAGACACGACTGAGCAACTAACACACACACACACTTAGTATGAGTTATTGCTTAGTGATTTGGAGGATAAAGGTTTTGGGGGATGGATGGTGAATTTGAAAACCTGGGGCATGGTATTGGAAGAAACCACATTAGACAAGGAAGTAGATCTTTGGGGTAAAGATTAAATTAAATTAAATTTTATCCACAGGGACAACATTCAATTATCATCTTAAAATAACATTCCTCTGTGTATGACTTTACTTACTTTCTCTCTTTCTCTCCTCCCCATTTCTCTCTCTCTCTCTGTATGAGTTATGTAGTATTTTCTATCAGGATTTTTATGTAGCATTTTACTATAAACATTTAAACATTTTACCAGATCAGTGAATATTCTTCAGCATCATTGTTAATGGCTATGTAATATTCTAACCTACAAAGCGCCATAATTTACTTAGCTAATCATCTGTGGCTAAATGTGTGCTTCCAATTTTCCATTATTGCAAAATAACACAAGGTTAAACATTACGAATGATTTTTAATACCTTTGAAAAGTAACATCCTTAGTGACACCAGAAAGACGGCTGAATAAGAGGTCCCCCACTCATATTCCTTCTAAATAATTGTTTGGCATCAATCCATAGACAAAAATGCCTTTGTGGAAGTTTTCAGATCCAGGCAGGAGACTGTGAAGCCCAGGGCAGCCCTGGATCTAGGAGAACCATTTGAGAAGGCAGGCCCACACCCAGGCGGCTGACACACCAATCATGGTTCCAGCTAGAGGCCCAGAAACAGCTTCATACCCACGAGGACTTGGTTACAGTCCCATTTAGCTTGGTCTTGCCACCAGCACCATATGAAGGGACCCAGGCAGAGTCAACCTCCCCCATGCATCAGATAATAGGCCTAGAGAACTAGTGAGCCCTGAACTAGCCTGTGTGAGACTGTCAAGACTAGCACCATGACAGGCGCCCTGAACTAACAATAGGCCTAAGTTTCAGTTTCTCCCGAGGGTAGGGTAATTATCTGCCCCCAACAGGCCACCAGAAACCAGCTAATCAGTACGCGCCCAGTAAACCTCCGAGAAGGTCCCCTGGAAAGTCCCATGCATGCGAAAGTTTGTACCAATAAAATTGCTTTGCAAACATGTAACCAATCCGCTTGCGCCCACTGCCCACTGCTTATGTTTGAAATCGAGCACCCTATAAATGTGCGTGGAAACTGGGGCTCGGGGCTCTCTGACTTTGCACCACTGCGTTGGTTGCAGCAGGGGCCCTGGCTCGAGTCAGCAGTAAATTTCCCTTCCTTTGCGTGTTGCATTGTCATGGAGGTCTTCTCTTTTCCTGCTGGGGGATTCGGACAGCGGGCATAACAGCCTGTGAACTGCCTCTAGCCCCTGCCTAGAAGCCCCTGGAGGAAAAGCCACCAAACTTACTCAGAGTGTAGATTCTGAAAGGGCCCTAAAATAGGAGCTGTCTCGTCCTGTCCATGGTCTGCAGACAGGTCCACTGGCTCAGGGACCCAAGAGAAGACACACCCATCTGTGACTCTGGAGGTCCTGAAAGGCCCTAGGCTGGGTTCCAGCCTTTTCCAGCCACAGACTGTGAGTTGTCTTGCCAGAACAGAGATTTGGCAGGAGACACATCTGTACTTTGGGAGATACAGAAAGGGCCCTAGAATTGGCTCCGGTCCTTCCAGTCACAGTCAGGGAACAGTCCAGCCCAGCCAGGGACCCAGCAGGCAACACTCGTCTGTGCCTCTTGAATCAGGAATACAAAATTCAATCTTGGCTGTTGAACCTGAAAAAGTCCTGGGGCTCCATTTCAGTCCCTCTCAGCCACGGTCCAGGACTCGTTTCACCCACCCAGGGACTCATCCAGTGACTCAGCAGCAGCCCTCCCAGGGACCTGGTGGGAGCCACACCCACCTTGTACCTGGTAATAGGCTCGCTGAATGACGACCTGACCTTGGACCCTAAAGCAGACCCCTTTCCCAGCACCTCCCTACAGAACCAGGTTCTAGAGACAGTCTCATCCACCCAAGGACTGGACAGAATCCATGCCTACCTGAGCCTCTGAAATCAAACATGCCAATCACAAACCCACTGCAGATGACGCTGTGACAGTCTCAAAACCAGCTCTAATCCAGCACAACTCTGATTCTAGTGGTAGTTCTGGCAGCCTGGGGAGCTGATAGAACGTTCTCACATGCCAAAACCAGTATATCAAGACTGGAAGAGGTGTTTGTTCCTTCAAATGCAGAGACACTGACACAAGGCCACATTAATCATGAAGAATCAAACATGGCACAGCCAAAGGAACTAATAAAGCTCTGGTAACTGGCTCCAAAGAAATGCAGATCTACAATCTGCCTGTCAAAGACTGCAAAATAATCATCTTAAGGAAACTCACTGAGGAGTTCCCTGGGGAACAGTGGATAAGAATCCACCTGCCAATGCGGAGGACACAGGTTCCAACCCTGTTTGGAGAAGATTCCACATGCCCGGGAGCAGCTAAGCCCATACACCACAAAAACTGAGAAATGGAAAATTTCCTGCCACCTCAGTAAACAAGGTTGTCACAATCCTCAGCAGTCCCAGCCCTCCAAATGCAAATTCCTGAGCCCTAAGGGCACCCAGGAAGGAGAGGAACACTTGCAACTCAGCAGCCGTTAGGCTGTAGCCACTCCCTATGGTAAACCCTGAGGAATTCAAGATGTAAAAAATACTTGATGCTGGCCCCATACAGCTGAGATGCAAATGAAACGAATGATTCTGTGAGTTCAGACTCTTGCATCTTCCCATACATAGAAATGTGCTGAATTCCTTAACTTGGGGTATCTGATTTTCTTTACTTCACAAAAATACTTTTGATGTTTAGACTACCTGCCCTTTGTTGCAAACTTCTATATAACCTGACTCATCCCCCTGCCTCCTCAGAGCAGTTCTCTCAGGGTTACTTAAATACTGTCTCCTGAGCTTAAGTTTTTTTTACAAGGATGCAGTTTAGGTGTCAGTGACTGACTGAGGCTGTTCTGCCATCTGAAGTTCAACTGGGGAAGGATCCACTTCCAAGCTCACTCACCTGGCTGTTGGAAGGATTCAGTTCTTCAAAGGCTGTTGGCCAGGGGCCACCTTCAGCCCTTGACAATTGGGCCTCTCCAGGGGGCAGCTCACAAACATGACAATGGCTTTCATCAGAGCAAGCAGTGGGGAAGAACCAGAACAAGTGCTGGCAAAATAGAAGTTCTAGTTTTTTGTGACTTAATCTTGGAAGTGACACTGCGTCACTTTTCATTACAGTACTGCTCCTGAGAAACAGGTCACCAAGTCCTGTCCACATCAAGGCAGTGATTACACGAGCACATGAATCCTGGGAAGTGGGGATCACTGGACCCCCTGGGCAGTCTCACTGCCACCGGGAGGAGGAGCTTGGCCAGAGTCCCACAGCAGTGACCGCTTAAAGACTCAGTTCTTGGGAATTTTCTGGTGGCCACTGCAGGGGACATAGGTACAATCCCTGGTTCAGGAACAAAGATCCCGCAATCCATGTGGCCAAAAATAAATAAATAAATAAAATAAAATTTAAAAAGACTCAGTTCTCAAGTCTCCTTCCTCTCCCTCGTTCTTCTCTGATATTTGTTCACAGGTGAAAAGTTGAAGACTTCCAGTGCCTGGTTCCTATGAGTACAAATACCCAAGAGGCCTTACATCACCAAGTCTGGGTGATGAGAACTGTTGTGATACAAAAGTTGCTTAGATGAGAAGATACACAGAAACTATCAAAAAGAAGAAACTACCAGAAGACCAGTGAGTGCCAGATAAGCTACAGGGGCACTGGAAATAACACTCTTGACATGGTGTTGAGATCTTGCTAAATTTCTTAATCCACATATGCTGGAGGAAAATCTTTCAAATGAACAAGCTCCACAAGCCTTAAAAAAGCTTCCTGGGAAGACTGAAAGAGAATAATTCAGGAACATACATTAATACAGATTTATAACCTGCTTTTATCAGTTAACAATATCAGGTGAAAATTTTCCTATATTGTTAAATATTCTTCAATGGGATCATTCAAAGGGGTAGAGCTTTCTTGGTATGGCTGGATGATAATTTATTTAAGCAAACTTCTTTGATTAAATATGAAGAGAGTTTACGATTTCTCAGTATAATAGTAATGCTGTATGGATTTCTCTAGTGGTCCAGTGGTTAACAATTCACCTTGCGATGCAGGGGACTTGGGTTAAATTACTGGTCGGGAAACTAAGACCTCATGCCTCAGAGCAACGGAGACCATGTGCCACAGCTAGAGAGTTCACACACTGCCATGGAAGATTCTGCATGATGTGATGAAGATTTGATGCAGTCAAATACATAAATAAATATTTTAAAAAATTAAGTAATGGTACAAGGATAATAAGTCACTGTGAGCATTTCTGACTAGTTAGGATAGATTATAAGAAGGGGACCCTCTGGGTCAGAGAAACATGCATTTTAAAAACTTTCAATACATAATACCGTCTATTAAAATTTTCATCATTGCCACTTATGAAACACTTATGATATGCCAGGAACCAAGTTAAGTGCTTTACATATGCACTGTCCTTTAATATTTCCAACAGCCCAAAGAGGAAGATTCTATGAATATCTATATCTTACAAATGAGGAAGCTGAAAGTCAGAAAGATAAATGACTTGATCCAAACAGCAAACTGACAAGCAGTAAAGCTGGTGTTTGAATTGAACTGGGACTCTAGGACCCATATTGTCTTTTTTTTTCAGCTACACCAATCAGCATGTCGGATCGTAGTTCCCCAACCAGGGAATGAACCTACACCCCCTACATTGGAAGCATGGAGTCTTAACCATGTGACCACCAGCGAAGTCCCTGGAACCCATATTCTTAACTGTTTGCTTTCATTAAAGTTCAGCTCTATTGTGTGAGCAGCCCAGTCCTTGCTTACCTCTCCATCCCATAAAATCCCCTGACCTCTCCATATGGACTATACAAGGATATTCTGGGCCTGCCTGCTTCTACCTTTTGATGTTCATATTTTGTGGGCTCTTGAAAGCTGGGATGTTGCGTTCCACATTTCTGCACCCAGCCAAGAGAGGTGACGTGTGTACAGAGTAAATACTCTACAAGTACCTATTGATTTGTTTTGTAAAAATTACACTGTGGAGGAAAGGAGGGGCCTGGGATTTATTTTCAGAGGTAAAGTTTTAAGCTCTCGGCCAGTGCTATGATTCTTGTCATCTTTGAATTATAGAAGAAAGGAAAGAAGGAAGGAAATGAAGGAGGGAGGGAGAAGCAGTGCTAATCAAATTAAACTGCAGACAATAAAATCAAGAGCTGTGAGGAGGGAGCGCAGAAAAAAATCATGAAAAATAACCTCAAGAGTGAAAGCCTCCACCCACTATCGAAGGACCTCCAAAGAAATGACAGAAACCCTTCAGGGATGACTTTTATCCTCTGAACCAAGATAAAAGGGGAAAGGAAATGCAGAATGTGATATCTGGGTGCTAGTTGTCCCGAGCAATAAACCCAAACTACAGAATAAAGCCATAAATACATAAGATCGAGAGATTAGGGAATTCCCTGGTGGTCCAGGGGTTAGGACTCTGAGCTTTCACTGCTGAGGGCCTTGGTTCAACCCCTGGTCTGGGAATGCATGGCATGGCCAAAACAAACAGACAAAAAACAGCATAGAAATAACAAGGTGACCTTACAAGTATACCACAGCTGAACCAGATGAGACCAATGGAGAACTAACCCTGAGATAAGCATGAACATGCCTAACTTGTACATTAATATGTTGAGAGATTTATCTATTTCAAACTAGAGTCTCCAGCCCACCAACAGAGATCATGAGTGAACCAGTGTAGAAAATGTAACCCGCTGTGTCTGTCTGTATTGCCTCCTGGAGGTTGGTTAAAGGAGGGTCCTGTGGGCACCATCCAGGCCACTTGGAGCTCGGCCTGCAGAGTGAACCAGCCTTCCATCAGTAAGGGGTTGTTGTTTTCAGACTGACTGCAAACGGCAGCTGCCTTCCATAGTCTGTTCCCCTGGTGGTGCCAAGATTCTAACCATAACCCTAAGCCTAATCCTAGCCTGTAATAAACCACAGGCTTTGGACCATTCATCTGGAGAAAAATTTCCAGAGGGCTGTTCAAGATGTGAGGCTTGCAAATAATGGGGTAGGGGGGTACTGTAGCTCTAGGGGATTCCACCTTTTATATAATAAGCTCACCCCAGTAGGCTTGGTTTGGCTGGGTGCAGGGCTTCTGTGGGGTTGATATCCCATCTGCAGGGGATACACAGAGACTTCTGGGTCCAGGACCTCCGCGCTCTGCAGGCAGGACCTTCAAATGCTATGCTTTTCTGTGGCTGAAGGGGGCACTGCAGCTCCCCCCAAGTACCATCTTTAACAGCTAAAGAAACCAGATACTCACCAGATTGCAGCTGTGAATGGAAGACTAACAGTGTCCTCAGCCACTGCTATTTTTATGTTTTCCTCACCCCCTCACTTTTGATCAACTGGGTAAACGTGGTCATGGGGCAGGAAGGGTAATATTTGTTGTGTTTGCAATGTGATTATTTCGTGAGCTAATTTCCCAAAGCTCCATCAATAGACAGGACACAAAGAACCACACAGGAGTCCTAGGAGCCCCCATAGCTGGTACAGCCCTAGCTCCCAGGGCATTAGGGCTGACAGTCTGAGGTCCATACATGTTGGTAGATGAAGAGGCAAAAAAAAAGTAATTTCTTCCATGTCCTGTTGGGTCACCTAACTGCTCTCTCTGCTTCCACATTGCCCCCAGAGTCGATTCTTAAATTTAATTTTGGCTGTGCTGGGCTTCTCACTGAGGGGGGCTTTTCTTCGAGGTGCCTGGACTCTAGAGTGGGGGCTCTGTAGTTGTGAGATGTGGGCTCACTTGCTCCATGGCATGTGTGATCGTCCCAGACTAGGGATGGAACCTGTGTCCCTTGCATGGCGGGAGGATTCTTAATCACTGGACCACCAGGAAAGTTCCACAGTCTATATAAACATAACAGTCAGAAGGATCTTTTTCAAATGTAAGATGATGTTGTCCTTCTGCTCAAACCCCCATCAGGTCTCCTAAATTCCTCAGAATAAGAGGCAAAGTCCTGTAGTGACCACAGGGCCCTCCGTAATCTGTGCGCATGTACCTCTCTGACTATCTCCCCTGGTGCTCCTGACCCCTCACCACTCCAGCCACGATCCTCAAGCACCCAGAGCACACTCTGACCTCAGGTTCTCAGCCCTAGAGATTTCCTCGGTCTGGACAGCTCTTTCCATGGATTTCACATGGCTCATGTCCTTCTTCACTCAGCTCATGACTTGAATGACACCTTAGGAAAGACCTTCCCTGAATACGCTCTGCAAAGCAACTACCCCACCTCTCCCCCATTCACTGGACCCACTTGTCATCTTACTCATCTTTTTTTTTTCATTTATTTTTATTAGTTGGAGGCTAATTACTTTACAATATTGTAGTGGTTTTTGTCATACATTGACATGAATCAGCCATGGATTTACATATATTCCCCATCCTGATCCTCACTGCCACCTCCCCCTCTACCCGATCCCTCTGGGTCTTCCCAGTGCACCAGGCCCAAGCACTTGTCTCATGCATCCAACCTGGGCTGGTGATCTGTTTCCCCCTAGATAATATACATGTGATGTTTTGAGAGAACAGCATTGAAACATCTTACTCATCTTTATAGTTTGCCATAATCTTGCCACCATGTGACATGTTATATATGCATTGTTTCATTCATTTATTGACTGTTCTTCCCCACTACACACACACACATGCACACGCATACACCACACACCTCCTTGATCTCAAATCCACCCCACCTAGAACAGAACATATAGTAAGAACTCAAAAAGGATTTCCCAAGTGAGCAATACCTCTGCTTACGCTGTTCCTCAGACAGGGCTTTCCTCTACTGGTCTGGCTTCAGAACTTCACTTCTTAAGCTCTGGTTCCCTCAAATGTAGCTTTCTATTATCCCACCAACCCCAACCTGCCCTTTACTGAAGAACAGATATTTGTTTTTGCATCAGTTTTACCGTACACAGTCCTCTAGACTGGAGGTGGGGTTTAGAGACAACAGCAAGGCAGCCTGTTATTGGAGATGGGAGGTCAGGGCAAGAAGAGACCCTGCCCTGAGCTCTGGAGGGGTGGCAGTTTACCAGGATTCTGGCCCTGGAGCCAGGAGATGGAGAGAATAAATAAATATAGAAAGAAGGGATAGAGAGGAGGGAATAAAGAGAAGGGTACAGAGAGAAGAAAGGATAGAGGGAGTGAGCTTGAGCTCTAGCTTGGAAAGAAGATACAAGAAACTGATAGCATTCATGGCCTCCACAGAAAACAACAGAGTAGGGACTTCTCTGATGTTCCACTGATTAAGACTTTGCTTTTCAATGCAGGTGTGAGTTTCATCCCTGGCTGGGGAACTAAGATCCCACGTGTTGCTGCCAGAAAACCAAATCATAAAACAGAAGCAATATGGTAACAAATAACAATTTTTTTTTTAAAAGGAATTCTTAAAGAAAAAAGGAACAGAGTAGCTGGGGGTGGAGGAAGAGTATCAAGGGTGAATGATGTTTCACTGTGTATTCTTTTCTATTTTTGGAGTATATTTGCTTTAGAATGTTGAGTTAGTTTCTGCCTTACCAGGGAGTAAATCAGCTATATGTATATATATATCACCTCCCTCTCCCCTCATCCCACCCATCTAGGCCACAGTTGGGCTGTTATTTGCTCTGAGGCATGTGGGATCTTCCTGGGTTAGGGATCCAGCCCTGGTCTCCTGCACTGGCATGCAGATTCTTTACCCCTTAGCCACCAGGGAAGCCTGGCTATTCATTTTAAAGAAGATGTGGGACATACATTGTATATCCTTATTTTACTTTTTGAACTGTGATCCATGTGTTATTTCTACAAAATAACAGCTTGATTAAAACAAAAACAAAAACCTACAACAAAGCACCCTGACTTTGTTACCTTCTTTCTGTGTGGCCCCAAGGAAGTAACTTGGCGGAGACCTGGCTGTAACACAGGCTCAGTAGTTGAGACCCAGGGGCATAGTCGCTCCATGGCATGTGGGATCTTCTCAGATGAGAGATCTAACCCAGGTCTCCTGCATTGCAGGCAGATTCTTTACCACTGAGCCACCAAGGAAGCCCTTATCACAATCTGAGGGCTATTTGGGGGATCCAGGAGATCTCACAAACGAATCTCCCAGCCCTGCGTCAGGCACACAGTACCTGCTGCTGTTGTCAGAACTCCCAGCAACTCTGGAGGGATTCCAGCATCTCTCTGAGCCCCAGTTCTCTCCTCCATCACCCTGGGAGAATAATCTGCAACTGCACAGGGCTGGTGGGCGGATTAACCGGGGAAGGGCCTCGGCACACAGAGCCCTGAGTTACCATCACTGTGTCACCCGTCAAGGCTCATCTCTTCTGGGACTCTGCCTGGACGATCTGGTGGCCACGCCCACTCCCCCGCCTCCCCAGCCCACGGTGGCAGGCAGCAATGGAATGTGCCCGAATAATAAGAACAGAGGCCACAGGCCCGCCAGTGCTGGAAGCAGTCACTTTATTGGTTGGAAAAAGAAGCAGCTGTGGTCAGCTCAGGATGGAGGGAAGAGGCCAGGGAGGAGGGCAGCTGGGCTGGAGCCAGACAGGGCCAGGCAGACATTGCTGCTCCCTCAGTCCACAGGCTGCGGTGGCTGGAGCTGGAGGAAGAAAATCATAACAATACCATCAACAACAATACCGGGGACACTAGACAAGAGCGCTTGCAGCTTAAATTCTGATTCAAAGCTCCTCCCACTCCATCACATTCCCCGCTACCTTCCTAGCCCCTGCCCCCCAGCAAAGCCTCATTTTCTCGAGGCCTTGGGGCTCTGCCGGCATTTTTCCAGAGGTCCTAGACTCACCTCTTCTGCTCTGACCTTCCCTGGATACACCGGGGTATACCATGGTCCCCACGGACCACTGTGACCATTCATGAGGGGTCACTGTCGTTTACCTCTCTAAGAATCCTTCCACCACTAGGAAGTTGCACTATGCCCCCATTCCTTCGGTTAAGCTGAGTTAACTGATCAAAAAGATCTTATATATCCCATTTTATCAACAAAATATTTGCAGTTCAGGGAGGTGAAAAAGGCTAGTTAATTGTCAGAGGCTGAAATCTGAACCTAGGTCTTCCTGACTGCAACGCCAGCCCATGCTGTTGGCACACATGGAGGCAAGAGGCAGCAGGCATCGCTGGAGAGCTCCGGGTCCTGGGGAGACCGTGCTTCTCTTTCAGGCACTGAGTTAGCAACCATGGGTCCTTGGGCATGTCCTCCCCTCTCTCTGGGTCTCAGTCTTCACATCTGGGCAATAGGTTCCATCACTGGCCTGCCAGTCTATTGACTGACAGCTTATCAACAGCAGCGCACGATTAGCAATGAGATTACAACCAGGGGGTCTGAGAGGGTAACAGGCAGGAAGGCAGGGGTCTCCAAATGGAAAAAAGAAGCTGCAGGTGCCAGACATTTTTATCTCTCTTAAGCAGCAGGAAGAAACAAACCAGCGATATGCCTTTCCTTCTCTACACAAATTTAAAAGAGGTTTCTCTTAAAGTGCTGTGTTGCCATGACACCTGGTCTCACCTGAAGCTAACTACTCTCAAACCTTGAGTTGACCAATACGTTTCTTTTTCGTATGGAAATGTTGTCTTAAGCTATGTTAATGAACCCCAGACTCTATCTTCAAGTTGGTTCCGCCAAATGGCCTAATTTACTTACTCAGGTATTGTTCCCCTAATCTATGTAAATGAAATTATTTGTTGGTATTCTGCCCTTCTACAAGATTCAAGTCAATCGTTTTATGGCCAGGGATAAATTATCTGACGTCATTCTAAATTTTATGACATCCTTTTCATTAACAGACTGTGAGTGACTATATAACAGACAACTAAAGACTAGGAGGGGGGTATTCTTTTGCCCCCTTCTGATGCCTATGTCAGAAGCTTTCTCTATCTCCTTTATACTTTAATAAAACTTTATTACACAAAAGCTCTGAGCGATCCAGCCTCGTCTCTGGCCCCAGATTGAATTCGTCTCCTCCGGAGGCCAAGAATCCCGCGTCTAATCGTTCAGCAACAACCTTTCAGGTCCTTCCGGGGTTCCCTCCATCTGGAACAGCTTCCCTACCACTGTACTTCACCAGACTACCCACCTTGCACTCATCCTTCAGGACTGGCTCAGAACCCTGCTCCCTCCTTCCCCCACCCTTGGGAAGGTGAGGCTTCCTCCTATGTTCCTACCACACCCAGCCCTGCCCTCCACTGCCGCACTGATGGTAGGCTTTGGGAGTGTCTGTCCATCTGTCTGCCTCAGCCACCTGGCTGCAAGCTCGGTGAGGAAGGGCAGCCATCACCTTTTGTTCCAGCACACGGCACAGGGCTGGATCCCTCAGTGGACTGAAGATGCATGTGCCTTGGGTTTTGTTTCTCTTTCTTTTCTTTTTTTTAAAAAAATCTTTATGTATTTATTCACTTGGCTGCACTGGGTCTGAGTTGCAGCATGTGGGATCTAGCTCCTTGACCAGGGATCGAACCCAGGCCTCCTGCATTGGGAGCTCAGACTCTTTGCCACTGGACCACCAGGGAAGTCCCTCTCTTTACTTCCTTATGCTTGCTTTATGACTTAACATTGTTTTATTTTTAATTATCTGTGGGGAAGGAGAGGTTCCACGATCTTATCTTTAGGCATGGGAACCACTCAAAGCAGGTGAATGTAGTCCTGTCGGCCACAGAGTAATAAGTGCACAAGTGAAGGGGAAAAGGAGTAAATCTCACAGCCCAAATAATCAGCAAATATTGCCCCATCCACCTTCACCATGTTGCAAACCCAGTCTCTTAGGTCACCTGGCCCATCACCTCCCACCTGGCCTCTTGCAGGAGCCTCCATGCTGGTCTCCCTGCTTCTGCCTCTGCCCCCTCTAGGGTCTCCACACAGGAGCCGGAGCAATCCTTTTAAATCCAAGTCAAGAGCAGGTCCGTTTCCAAGGGCCCAACATCTCTGGGTCAAGACCAAAGTCCTGGACTTTCCTGGTGGTCCAGTAGTTAAGAATCTGCCTGCCAGTACAGGGGACCTGGGTCCGATCCCTGGTCCAGGAAGATTCCACATGCCACAGAGCAACTAAGCACGTGTGCTGTAACTACTGCCTGCGTGCTGCAATTCCGGAAGCCTGCTTGCCTAGAGCCTGGGCTCCGCAACAATAGAAGACACCACAATGAGAAACCGTGCAATGGAACAAAGAGTAGCCCCAGCTTGCTGCAACCAGAGAAAGCCTGTGCCTAGCAGTGAAGACCCAGTGCAGTCATAAATAAATAAAATATATTTTAAAAAAGACCGCAGTCCTTACATGGTCTATCAGGTCTCTCCACTACCCAACTGCCTCTCTGACCCTCTCTTCTATTGCCCTCTCTTTGATCATAGGAGGCTTTTCCTGAAACACACCAGGGGTTCTACTGCTTTATATCCGCTGCCCCCACTGGCCATAACAGTCTCTCTGAAAGCTCCCAGTTCCCTTCATCATCTCCAACAAGTTTGTTCAAATGCTGCCTTTTGGAAGGTCCTGTGATAAAACTGCAACACAGCTCCCTGTTGCTCCCCATCCCTACTCCGTATCCTCCTTCTGTTTTCTTTTTCTCCAGGTCACTTATTTCCTGCTAACATTTTGCAGGGAATGAAGGTGTTGAAGGAGCCTGGTGCGCTCAGGTCCATAGAGTCTCAAAGAGTCAGACACAACTGAAATGACTTAGCACACATGCATGCACAGTATATAAAACCCATCAGAGAGAAATTTTTGTTGGGTTTGTTTACTCATGGAGCTTCCCAGCACCTAGAGCAGTGCACCACATGTGATAGATGCTCAGTGACTATGTTGAATGGATGAGAACAAATCAAAGGATGGATAAGCAAATAGCACTGTGTTAGCTCAGGGGCTCCTTTTCAGGCTCCTGCAGGGGTTGTCACATCTGAGTATCAATGTATCCGTCCCCCCACCCCAGGGCACCTACCTCAGAAGACAGGGGTGACACAGGACACCTTCCCGCAACCATTGCGGCAGCATTTCAACAGGTCAGGACACTGGCTGTCCACCTGGCACTGGTCCCGGCAGAGGCCGAGCTGGGGGAAGGCGATGTCCACCTTAGGGCAGGAGCCCTTCTTCTCTGGGTAGAAAGAGGAGTAAGAGGTGGTGAGCAGAGCCGAAGCAGGTGGCTGCACATGTCTCCACAGCATGTCTGCCCACCTGGATTCACAAACAAGACAGCTGCCTGCCTGAGCGAATCTCTGGGGTGTTGGAAGTTTGTCTGCAACCTTCCTTTCTCCTGTTCTCTCCTCCCAGGGGTTTTGAGATCACTGGATTCCAGTCTGAGTCCCAGCTCTGCCTTCTCCTAACTTTGTGGCCTCAGGATGAAAAGCCCCTAGAGCCCCGTGTCTTCAGGTGTCAGATGAGATCAGCGCTGACCACACCACAGGGTTGTTATGGAAGCAATGGAGGCAACAGACTTCTCCCTGAGAAGTCAACATCCTTTGTAGCAAAAATAATGATGATGAGTAAAGGCAGCCGTTAACACTTAGCTCCTTCTAAGTAGCAGGCATTATATGAAGCTTGTGACATTTATTAACTCATCTAATCCTCGGGGTAATCCTAGAACCGGGGACAAGGAGCTGTAACAATTTCCTCATGTTGCAGATGAGGAAACTGAGTCAACAAGAAGTTAAATAATTTGCTTAAAGTCAAACAGGGTAGAGACAGGATTTGAACCCAGGAACCTGGCTTCAAGTCTGTGCACCATGCATTTTGCTGCTTTGTAAGCTGTTAACCATAGTGCCCATGTAAGGGTGACACACCCACAATGCTTTCACTCCCGTATAATTACTCCTAGTTACAACCAGGTGGAACCAAGGTCCCCTCTACACTCTCACTCTAACACCCAGAGAAGCATTCTTCCACTAGTGAACACACACACACACACACACACACAACCACAGAGATGTACCAATTACAAAGTCCTTAGTGCAAATCCATTTTGTCCCTTAACTTTCACATCAAACATCTCTTCTGTAGGGGATAGTTCTTATTACTGTATTCTTGTTATAGAGGAAGAAAATGAAACCCAGAGGGGTGAAGGCATCACCCAACATCACACTGCTGATCAGAAGTAAAACCAAGACTTGGGCTCAGCCTTTCAATGTCCACACACACAGACACACACACACAGACACACACACACACACCCTGTGCTCCACTCCAAGCTCAAGGAGGAGGGAGCTGGGCTCAGTGCCCAGAAGCCCCAGGAGCAAGTCCAGCCAAACGTCAAGCAGGCACAGAGCTGGGTGATGAGCTGAGAGGACACGGTGGGCTGCCTTCCTGCACAGACACCCTTTCCCTGGAGAAGGGCAGGAGCTCTCAACACCGAGCTGCCCCAGGACAGAAGGGCATCAGGAGCCCGTGACTCACTAAACAAGCCACTGTGAGTGGAGGCTCTACTCTCTCCTGAGACATCTCACGTGTTATCATTTCATTTAGCCTCATATCAGTCCTACAACATCTGAGGTTACCATTCCATTGTATAAAGGAGAAAACAGAGGCTCAGAGAGGGGTAGCCATTTGCTCAGGACACACAACCTGCAGATGGTACAACAAAGATTCTGATTCAGGAGACCCTCTGGCCCTGCCCCTCTTCCTGCCTCAGTCTATCCATCTGAGACCAGGGAGGAGCAGAGACTCCCCCAAGCAGAAACTCCTCTTTTCTCCCCACTCCCCTCCCATCTGTCTGTCTTTCTCTCCCAACGTCCTCCTCTCCAGGTTTTCCTGACTTTGGTCCAGGTTAGAGATCCCCAGATCCACAAGCCCCCCTGATGGGCTGTTTCTCCCTCCAGCTCCCACCACCCAGCTCTGACTGAGGTCTCTGATTACAGGCCTTCCTGGCCCTGTGGGCATCTTCAGAGAAATCACAGGGAGGAAGCAACATAGGGACTTTTTCTCTGGGTAAAGACCAGTGATCCCAACACAATGGGATCCTGGCTTCTAGTCCTCAGTTTTTCCCTCTGAAAAATTAGATGTTCAGGGTCCAAGCTGTCTAAGACCCCTTCCTGCTCAGGTAGGAGTCCCTAGGACCTACTGGAGAGTCTTGAGCTCCAGCAAGTGCTTTCTGTGAAGCGTAAGCTTCACACACTCTCATTCAGTCTTCAGAGCGGAAGAGAGGGTGTTAAGAGGAGGAAGGGGGAGGGTTGCTCAGGATGGGGTCCTGACTTTCTTCAAGCCACTCAGAGAAAAAAGGGACCCCCTGTGTTATGAATCCTGTCCAGCCAGGGATGGCAGTGTGACCTTGGACAAGAATCTTTCTCTCTTTTTGCAGCTCACATCCTATCTTTAAGATGGGCGGAGTGCTCTCCTAAACCTGGAAAGCCTCCATCTGGACAGAGGAATTTGGGAAGTCCGGGCCAGTAGGCATCCCAAAGCCTTCCCCCAGGGCCGGAAAGGCCACAGGAAAGGGGTTCTGAAACGGGATCGAGTTCCAAACCTTGGGACTCAGCCCACTGGAGAGCCATGGGCTGCCCCGCGGCTAAACCCCCTGCCAGGAGGAAGCTTCGACCCGGCGCCCAGATCTCAGGGAACAATGGATGGCCCGGAATCACGTCCCTGCGGTGCGTCCCGGAAGTCCGTCATGCACCAGAGCGATGAATCTGGCTGGGAGTGGGGGACCTCCCTTCCCCTCGGAGGCATGTCAGCGACGCCTCGGTGTCCCCGGGGCCGCGGGAGGGAGAGCACGGGCTGATCCGGTTCCAGCCACTTCGACCTGGTCCTGGACCAGTCGGTCGGTCGCGCTGGCGTGCCCGTAACGGGGCGCTCCCTTCTGCCGCACCTCCGCTGCCCCGCCCCGGCCCGCGCGGGTCCCTCAAGTTACCATTAGGCATCTGGCAGACGGTGGCGCAGCCGGCCTGGCAGCACTTGAGGTTGTCCTTACAGTTCTCATCCGAGACGCAAGCCTTCGTGCAGTTCACGTCACCCTCCAGCTCGGGACACACACCCGGCTTCTCTGCGCCTGCGCCTGGGAGGTGGACGGGCAGTGGGGGACCCGGGCCCGCTCTCAGAGGATGACCACCTCGTGTCTGATGGCCCCCAATCTCAATCCGCCCCCCACCCCCGAATTCTGAGTCTCTGTTCCTAGGCCCCGCCCTAACAGCCTCCAGAGAGCCCCACCTCCAGGGACGGGGTCCTCCAGGACAGGAGGACCCTTGGCCTCTGAGCCTTCAATTTTTAGGAGACCCCAGCCCAACTGAGCTTCTAGAGCTTCCGATGTCCCGGCAGAGGGTCCCTGCCACTGGCCATTGCATCTCCAGGATCAGCAAAGAACCTTCCCACCCTCAGTCTTCAGTGGTCTCCGCGCACCTCCAGCACACTGGACCACACATCTGAAGCTCAAGGGCTACCGCCTTCAGAGCACCAGGGATCCCCACATTTTAGCCTGCAGGGGACTCCCCACTTCCGCCCCGGGGAATCCTCACTGCTCAGAGAGGCTCTAAGCTCCTGCCCCGCTCGGTTCCTGCGCTCCCGGTTCGGCCCCTCTGGGCACCCAGCCTTTCCCCGCCCCACTCACCTGTGACCGGGGGGAGGCCCAGCAGCAGGCCAAGGAGGAGGGCGGCGAGGAGAGGACCGAGGCGGCAGGCAGGCATGGTGCTCGCCAGGGCGGGGTGCCGGAATGAGGCGCCGCCAGCAAGATTTAACTGGGCTCCTGGGGGGCGTGGGGTAGGGGCGGGACTGAGCCCCTGCGGGTGGAGGGCAGGCGGGCCGACTGCCACCTCCCGTCATTTCACAATCTCCCGGGATCAGGTGTCACTCTGGCCCCAGTGGGAACCAGGAACCTAAGCGGCTTCCTGGCCGGGTGCAGCTGGTCGCACCCGGACCCTTGTCCCCTCCCCCCTCCCCACCTCCCTCTGGGCCCTGGGGGCAGGGCAGCAGGAAGCCAAGGGCTAGACCCAGGACTCCCGGGATCCCATTCCAAGACCCAGGGGTCTCGCTGTGACGCCCACTGCGGTAGGAGAGAGGAGGGCAGGACCCCCTGGGAGAGACTGCAGATGAAGTGGCTGGACTCGGGGTCAGCAGATCAGGGTTCGGATCTCTCTTTAGGGATTCGTGGTGGGCCTGCTGTGTAGTGATACACAGCACCCAGAAGGAGCTACAGGAAAGCCTACTTATACAGGAACCCACTGGACACAAGACACTGAGGCCAGAGAAGGTGAAACACCTGTTAACATCTGGAGCCATTCAGGATGTGTGTTTCTCCCTCGCTCTCTTTTCCACGCAGACACTCAGGTTCACTCACTGTCTGTACTCAGTGCCTCGTGCAGCCATGGATGGTCCCAGACACCTGTGAACAGAGGGATATTGTCATCGCCAACCGTTTGTGACAGATGAACTGTGCAGGAGGCCCTCCCAACTTCCCACATCCCAAGTGAAGCTGTAGTGACAAGGTTTGATTCCTAGTCTCCATCTCTCCAAGTCTTTTTTTTTCCCGTCCATCATAAATGTATGATTTTGTGACACATCTAGGGCACACAGTTGCTGTAGAGAAAGTAATTAAAGGAACTCTCATCATTGGCCTCGGGGTGACAGAGTCTGGGTTTGACTTCCTTCTCTCCCACTTCCTAGCTGCGGGACCTTAAATGAATCTCTTCTCTGTTCTGAGCGGCCAAGTAGTCATCTCCAGAGATCTGTAAATGGGCAGAGATGGTGTCTCCTGTTTGTAAGGAGACTGATGAGTAGACATCGAGGTTTAACATGCAGGCTGCTGCTGTTAAGTAGCGTCAGTCATGTCTGACTCTGTGTGACCCCATAGACGGCAGCCCACCAGACTCCCCCATCCCTGGGATTCTCCAGGCAAGAACACTGGAGTGGGTTGCCATTTCCTTCTCCAATGCAGGAAAGTGAAAAGTGAAAGTGAAGTCGCTCATTCAGGTCCGACTCTTCATGACCCCAAGGACAGCAGCCCACCAGGCTCCTCTGTCCATGGGAGGCTAGTCAATGCCAAAGCACAGTTACCCAGCAAGAAGTACCTTCAAACATCCTTACTGATCTAAATCTGAGCTCAGTAAGCCCCAGGAGGTCTTTGCTGCTGGAGGGTGGAAGGGGTGGAGAGCAGTGGCCATGGGGATGACAGGTGAGCAGGACTTGATGACAGAAATATGTCCAGCCACTGTCCCCACAGATGCCCCGGGGAAAAGAGGCTTTGAATACCTCCCCCACTTCCCATGTCCAGCCTGGGGACTGGAGACAGGTCCTCGTTGGGAGGGGCGAGGGCTGTTTACTCTGAGCACAGAGAATAGTTAACAGTGGCTGGAGTCAGGTGGGGGCTCAGCCCAGGGCGGCTCCTCAGTCTAGGACACGCAGGGGACATGTTGATGGGGAAGCTGGTTTTAGCCTGTGAATCCAGCTGCCTGCTGGACATTCAGCCCCGGGTGGTGCTGCCCACAACTTTCTTCTGGCACCTGGCCAGCTTGCCCAGGCCAGGAAACTGCCTGGCCTCACCCCTCTCTAGCCCTCTTGGGCTCTCCTGGGGACTGACTCTCTTGACAGGAATGGGGATTAGCCTGAGGCGAGTGGGATGGGGTGGGGCACACAAATGGAGGAGAAAGCATCCGTAGGTCCATGGCCCATGGCATACAAAAGATGTTTAGCTTTTGTGATGTTAGCTTGTGCGCTAGGTGTGTTCATACAGTTTGCTTCTACATACAATCTAAAAAGGGCAGAGGCTAATTCCTATGTGACATAACAGCATCTCACTTTTGGGACCTACATCTTCTTCTTCCTTGAAAGAGGTTATCACAAGGGAATTCCCTGGCTGTCCAGTGGTTAGGACACCGTGCTTTCACTGCTGAGGGCCCAAGTTCAATCCCTAGTCAAGGAACTAAGATCCTACAAACTGTACAGTGAGTGCAAAAGAAGGAGGGTGAAGTGTTTTGTAGGATTATTTTAAGGTTCAAAGGGAAGACTAAGGTCCAAAATTCAGCTTCTCTCTATGCTCGTGCTGAATTGATTCTTAGAGACAGAGTTTTGGATGGAGTAGAAAAGAGCAGCTTTGTTACTTTGCCAGGCAAACGGGGCCACAGCAATCTAATGCCCTCAAAGCCATGCATCCCAACTTGGAGAAGACAGTGAGAAGTTTTACAGTGATTGTGCAAAGAGGACATGATCAGCTCATGGATATTCTTCTGATGGGTTGGTGGTGACATAGTAGGAGACAGCATCATCAACTTGCAGGTAAGTCCAATGGGTCTGGGGTCGACATGCTTGTGGGCAGATTACCATCATTAATTGTTCATTTCTCCCACCTGGAAGGGGTTTCAATACCCGCAAAATAGTACAAAAATATTGCTGTATGTATCTGTTAATGGGGAAGCAGAACCTTGCCCCAAGGCTGTTCTTGACTGTTTCTCCCTTGTCTCCCATCCCCTTCCTTCCCTAACTAACAATTGCTTGAATCTGCTGATTGGACCTCAAGGAAGGTCATGGAGGTTGAATGAAGGCTGTTTTCTATAATCAAAGAAATGGGAGACACAGAAAGACCTTGTGCTCAGGAGCCTCACAGGGCCCTGTTCTATATCAACAGCATAAACCAGAGGTTGCAAATCTGGATAGAATATTGTATTGTGAACCCACACAGTATATTTTAAGAGTTTGAATTAGTTGTCAAATTTAAGAGTGAGGAATTTCACATAAAAGTAAAATTCTAATACCAAAATTTCAGTAAAAAGAAATCGTCTGGGAACACAGTGGCAACCGTCAACTAGAACACTGGGCCTCAAACCTGAGCAAGCATCAGGATCACTTAGACCACTTGTTCAAACACAGATTTGAGATCTCTACCTCCAGGGTTTGAGTCAGTAGGACTGGGGAGAAGTCTGAGAATCTGCATCTAAGGGTTTCCAGGGACACTGATGGTGCTATTCAAGGGACCACACTTTGAAAGCCGTGAACTAAGCTAAGGGGGCTGCTCTCTTCTCGGGAGGGGAGTGTTCTCTCCAGTTTCCATAATCCCCACCATTCCTTACTGTCCTCCTGCCTCCACCCCAACTCCAAATACTTCCGTCCCCATTACTCACCTGGCCTGGAGGGCATTTAAAAGTGTGGCTTGTCGGGTGAACTCACAGTAAGTGTTCGGGAAAAGGTAGCTTGTTCTTATTTAACAAGGTTGAAATGGGAGGTGCTATGAGTCAGCTGTAGACTTGCCCACTCTAAGATGACTGTAAACAAATGAACGTCAGACATCTGAGAAATTCCCAGGAGGAAACAGGGTACCTTTAACCAAACAATGGCTCTTTGTCCTCTGGGACCCTTTCAACCTCCCTAACTCAGAGGAAACCTGCCTTTCTGAGTGTATTGGCTATTTTGCTGTTTTGTCACCTAGCATCCTTTTGTCCTTTTTCTGATAACACTAGCCTGATTTTGGACTTGCTTGGTGGTAAAGTGGATAAGAATCTGCCTGCCAATGCAGGGGTCATGGGTTCCATCCTTGGTCTGGGAAGATTCCACATGCCATGGAGCTTACTGAGGCCCTCCTGTACTAAGGCCTATGAGTCACAATTACAGAGCCTGTGCCCCACAACAAGAGAGGCCCTGCAATGGGAAGCCTGTGCAATGCAACGAAGAGTAGCCCCTTCTCACCGCAGCTAGAGAAAGACTGAGAGCAACAACCAAGACCTAGAACAACCAAAAATAAACAAAGAAATAAATAATTTTAAAAAAGGTAGCCTGATTTTTGTTTGAGAGAACAACCCTTCCTCCACCCCAGATGGGACAGGCAGGTTGAGGGGCTTGTCAATCAGAGTTCTTGATTTTACCCCCCAGACCAAGAGTGGCCAATCAGTTGCTCTCCTTGGAATTTTAATGTTGACCAATGAAAGCTTCCTTGGTGGTTTAGAGGGTAAAGAATCTTCCTGCAATGCTGGAGACCTTCGCTCCATCCCTGAGTCAGGAAGATTCTCTGCAGAAGGGACTGGCTACCCACTCCAGTATTCTTGCCTGCAGAATTCTATGGACAGAGGAGCCTGGCGGCCTATAGTCCACGCGTTCACAAAGAATTGGACATGACCGAGTGACTAACACTTTCACTTCTTAATAAATGACAAAAATCCTGAAAATGTATGGTATTCATTCAAAAGCAGCCTGAGAAGACCTTGATTTCTCTTGTTTCCCATCCTTTCCAAGCAGAATTCTTTTTAGCATTTCCTTCAACTCCAAGACTGAATTACATCAGCTAGTGCTATTGGTTGCCAACTGATGGATCCAATGGGATGTAACTTAAGGGTACAGTCAGGAAGAGAGAATAGATGCCCTCTATGTCACCACACCATTCTCACCAATTCCTTCTCTTCTTCCAGTAGCCAGAGTCAGTTTCTGTTGCTCACAACCAGGGAGATTTGATGCCCTTACTGGTCAGCAGCAAGTTTCACATTTCCAAATCCAATGGCCTTTTCTCAGGCCTCAGTCCAGTTTGGCTCAGTTGCTCAGTTGCGTCTGACTCTTTGCGACCCCATGGACCACAGCACACCAGGCCTCCCTGTCCATCACCAACTCCTGGAGTTTACTCAAACTCATGTCCTTTAAGTTGGTGATGCCATCCAACCATCTCATCCTCTGTCGTCCCCTTCTCCTCCCGCCTTCAATCCTTCCCAGCATCAGGGTCTTTTCAAATGAGACAGTTCTTTGCATCAGGTGGCCAAAGTATTGGAGCTTCAACTTCAGCATCAGTCCTTCCAAAGAACACTCAGGACTGATCTCCTTTAGGATGGACTGGTTGGATCTCCTTGCAGTCCAAGGGACTCTCAAGAGTCTTCTCCAACACCACAGTTTAAAAGCATCAATTCTTCAGTGCTCAGCTTTCTTTATAGTCCAACTCAGATCTATACATTACTACTGGAAAAACCATAGCTTTGACTAGATGGGCCTTTGTTGGCAAAGTAATGTCTCTACTTTTTAACATGCTTTTTAACCTAGACAGCATGTTACCTAACTCACAGGTAAGGTCTTCATGGCATAAATGTAAACCAAATTTTTTATACAAAAATTTGGTTCTATATCATCTAATTGAAAAAACTATGAACAGCAGAGCTTCCTTATTTGACAACTTTGAGTCCCGTCTTGTGAATCTCCAGGGCTTTAGACTATATCGCTTTCAAACTTCTTTTAGAGGGCAGTCATTGAAGTCAGAGAGTAGAGTTCAAATCGCACTCCTGCCATTATTGATTAGGTAACCTTGGAGAAGAGGTTAATCCCAGCTCCATCATTTCCTAGCTAGGTGACCTTGACAACATTATTTAATCCTTCCAAGCTTCAGTTTCTTCATCTATATTATTTCTAGCCTCATAAAATCAACTTGGATTACGAGATAATTTTTTTTTTAAAGCAACCAAGATAGAGCTCACATGTGATTAATGTCAAATGTGGTTGTCAAACATTTTTTGATTAATGTCAAAATGTTGTCAAAGGGCTCTTGTCAAAATGCCCTGTAGATGCTCTGAGCTCAGTCTACCTGACTCTGCTTCATCCCAGTGACTCCAGGGATGTTGTCTACCTTTGTGCTTGGACAGCTTAGTCCTGGACCAAAGACACTTTGTGCCTGCACCCTTGACAGTTCATGGGGCCTGAAAGTATTTTGTCTTGCCTGGAAAAGTCGGGTGTTATATTTCATTTCTCTGCCTTTGGGAGAGAAACTGTAACAGACACTCCCAGGTATCTGCCCAACAGCCTTTTCTCTTTCTTCCTTCCCGAGAAAGAAACTTGATGTTATGGGTGGCAACAAATTCTTTCCTAAAAATACCCATCAAATATGCATGTGAGAAATCTGTCAATGTCAAGCTATCTACATGCTCTTTGGATGGAGACCATTAATAAATGTTTAGCACTTTAAGAGTAAACTACGTAAGAATCAAACATGAAACTCTAGAAAACTGACATATAATTTCAATGAAACCTGATAATTAGTCAATAAAGAGCATATATCAAAACACAGACTTAAAAGAGACATAATCCAGGATGTAAAGTAGTTGAAAGAAAAAAAAAGAAATATGGAGGGAAGAAAGAACCTTCTTTTTTCTCCTTTCAACATCCCTTCCCAGGGTTTATCTAATCTCATCCTCTGTACAGTCATGAGTGGTGGGAGATTTCATCATGCCCACGTTATAGAGGAGAAAAATGAGGCTGAATTGCACAACACAGGACAGGCAGGGGCAGAATGCACACATAGCCAGCATGTACTCCAAGAATTAGTGTGGCTGCTTCTTAGAGTTGTATAAGGGAGGAGCATACATCTAAAGCAGAAGTTTGCATTGGTTGTTATTCATCTCCATGATTACATGGTACCAGGCACCACCCTCCCTTGTAAGTGGACCCACCTCCAGGGTCACGTGGGAAGGCAAGAGCAGAGCCGTATTCTCCATTTTATTGTGAATCTGCACCCTCCTGGGTCCATATAACCACTCGTCTTAACACCATTTTCCATTAGGTGAATAATCTCAGATCTCCATCTCCAGCGTGGACTTCTCTTTACTCTTTTTTTTTTTTTTTTTTTGCCACACTGTGTGGCTTGTGGGATCTTAGTCCCCTGACTGGGGATGGAGGCTGTGCCCCTGCATTGGAAGCATGAAGTCCTACACTGGACTGCCAGGGAATTCCCTCTCTCTCTACTCTTGGTGTGTTACATTTTCTTATTGTTGGCTACTGACCTTTTAAAAATGAAATCAGACCATGATGTGTCCCTGCTTCAAGTCTTCTCGAGGATTCCCACTGCACCTGGAATTACAACCTAGATGCCCTAAAATCACCTCTGAACAAATCCCCGCCTACTTCCCCCAAAGTTTCTCTTGCTGCACAGACCTTTCTGTTTCCCACCTCATGGAGCTTGTTCCTGCCCTGGGGCCCTTCCACTCACTCTTCCTTCCATATGCACAACCATCTGCCTAAAATTGCTGTGATTTGTTTTGCCCTGATTCTGCATGATTTTCTGCCTAGGTGATCTCTTTGTGAAATGTATCTTGTTCATAACCACTGACTGTATCCACTAGGTACAATGTCAGTTCCGGCAGAGCAGGGAGCTGTGAGCTGTTCTCCATTGTGATCCAGAACCTAGGACAGTGCCTGGCACACACAGCAGGCGCTGAGATAGGACATGGTTATTCCTTCCTGGGTGCAGGCACTACTGTAAGGTCTTTATAAGGATTCATCCCCTTGGTGTCACTATTGACCAAAGAAGTAGGTGCTGTTATTACGGCTCCCATTGTGCAGAGGATCACATGATGACAGAAGTGAGCTGACTACACAGCTAGAAAGTGGGCAGAGCCAGAGGTTGAAGTCATAGAGTCTGGTCTGAACTTTTGATCACTCTGTATTCTATCCCTAACCAGCATTTTCTGATCAAGTGGTTGGATGAATCAATGTCTACTCAACATCTTCCCATGAATGTTCTACAGGTGCCATAGACTCAACATTGACCAAGCTGAACTCTTTGTCCTTCCCCCAGACTCACTCCCTCTCCCTTCTCCCAGGCACCAGACTGCTGTCAATGCTTCTTCCCTCTCCTCACCCCTGGGCACAGTCTCCCAGCAGTCCCTCAGCAGTCCCTCTCCTCACCCCTGGGCGCAGTCTCCCAGCATTCCCTCTCCTCACCCCTGGGCGCAGTCTCCCAGCATTCCCTCTCCTCACCCCTGGAGGCAGTCTTCCAGTATTCCCTCTCCCCACCCCTGGGAGCAGTCTCCCAGCAAAGCCTGTTGGTTGTCCCTCCTCTGTCTCTGCTGTAGCCACTGCTCTCTACTGCATCCAGGCCACTCCCATCTCCCCTCTGGACAGTTGTCACTGAAACAGGAGGGAAGGGGCAGAATGACACAGCCATATGTCATTTTGAAAGAATGACATAGCCATAGGACATGACAAAAACTGGTTAGAATCAACTAGGACCAACCTGGCAGAAGATTCTACTCCCAGTAGACCTTGAGCCTTACTGTATGCTCGTTGTAATACATTAGCTCAACACAGACCCATGACAGTTCTGAAGGCAACCATCAAAGACTAAAAAGTGGGTGGCGGACCAATTTCTGGAAATCTCCACCCCTTCCCCAAAATAGATGGAATAATCCTCCTACTCTTTAGTCTATGAAATTACCCAGCCCATGAAAAGTAACTGTCCCATATTTTGGGCCCCTCATCTTCTGAGATGGCTCATACTCTGTCGGTGGAGTGTGTTTGTTCCAAGACCATTCTCATCTTTTGAAATGAACCACATTCTGTCTATGGAGTGTATATCTGTCTAAATAAATAAGTTCACTTCTTAATCACTTTGTCTCTCACTGAATTCTTTATGCAATGAGGCTTAAAGAAGCTGAGCTTCATTAAGGTCCCAGAATAGGTGTGTGACCTCAGTTAAAAAACCATGGTTCAAGTCCCAGCCTGGGTTACACGGTTTCATCATGACCCCCCTGCCTTGCCCCCACCCCCCACCCTCCCCTCCATCCTCTGCCAGGTTCTCCTAAGATGAACAGGTCCTTCCTCTGACCTCAGATAAAGCCCCAAACTCTTAACTCATCTCACAAGTTTCCTCAAGTCTGGTTCCCACTTCTATACCCAGTGCTACCTTGTCCCATCCTCCCATTCATTCTCACATACCTCCTCCTCCATCTCTAGCTTTTCCATCTGCTGAGAACCCTTTCCCCACCTTCCTCTTAGGGACTCTAGCTCATCTCTCAGGTCTCAAAAGAAAGTGACTTCCTCAGGGCATCCCTCCATCCAACTCCCACCACCTCCATTCCCCTACAAACTTTCCCTTCACACCCTGTGCATTGCATTCCTTAGTAATCACTTGTTCAATAGTTCATGGAATTTTCTGCTAGAAAATGGACTATAAGAGAGCAGATACCATGTCTTTCGTGTACATCATAGATGAGTAAATATTTTTAATAATTATTCATATTAACTGATTTATAAACTCACTTTATGTGCGTGCGTGCACGCTCGCGCGCGCACACACACCCCCCCCAAAGAGTTGAATTTTCCCTCCTAATAGTAGAGAGGGTTTGTTTGGATCCAAGAGGCAGCCACTGTGGGCAGAGAGTGCTTTCCTTAAAGAGCAGGTCCTAATGCTGGTTCCTTGGGGCTTTAATTGAGAGGATAACCAGCAGAAAGTCAAAAGTTTCCCCCTATATTTTTGAGAGACCAGGGGGTTGAATATTTTTGCGTGGGATGGGTGTGAGAGTGGATCTGGGTGAGACCTGCTACCGAAGCCAGAGGGAATTAAATTCAGTGTGAGGAAGAATGGGACAAATTTTGAAGAGGACTTTGACATTCCTTAAAGGATGGGGAAATTCCTGATAGCAGACTTCTAGAAGGTGATGCTACCAAAGAAAAATGCTGTTTGTTCCTTTCTTTAATGAAGTTGATAGCACACTTAAAAAGCAGTCAGGAGCCAAAAACCCCTAAAACTTGATATTGTTGCTTAGTTGCTAAGTTGTGTCCGACTCTTTTGCGACCCCATGGACTGTAGCCCACCACCCTCCTCTGCCCATGAGATTTCCCAGGCAAGAATACTGCAGTGGGTTGCCATCTCCTTCTGTGGTTCTTCCTGACCCAGGGATTGAACCTGTGTCTCCTTCATTTGGAGGTGGATTCTTTACCACTGAGCCACCAGGGAAGCCCCAAACTTGATGTGTTTCTAGCCAACTTGTTTTGGTCTGTGGTGTTCAAAACACTTCAGCATCATAACCTGTTAGTCTTCAAAAATACCCAAAGGAGAGGATTTCTTTCATCTTCTATTAAAAAAAATTTTATTTATTTATTTGGCTGCACCAGGTCTTAGGTGCACCATGTGGGATCTTTAGTCTTCCTTGAGGCATGCAAGATCTTTAATTTTGGCATGTGAACTCTTGGTTGGGCATGTGGGATATAGTTCCCTGACCAGGGATCGAACTTGGGCCCCCTATACTGGGAGTGTGCAGTCCCAGCCACTAGGCCCTCAGGCAAGTCAGAGGAGTGGATTTCCTAAGGCAGGTGCAATCACCTTATTTTTCAAAGAAAGAAACTGTGGTTCAGAATGGTGAAGGGACTTGCCCAAGGTCACACAGCAATACCCAGAGCTACTGTAGTCAATCTCTTCTATTTAGAACCAAATACTTTTCCATTATACTGCTATTAATTAATATTTATTAATTATAAATTAAACAACTTATCTATTGGGCTTCTCAGATGGCTCAGTGGTAAGGAATCCACATGCTAATACAGGAGCCGCTGGAGGCTCAGGTTTGATCTCTGGGTCAGGAAAATTCCCTGCAGGAGGAAATGGCAACCCACTCCAGTATTCTGGCCTGGAGAATCCCATGGACAGAGGAGCCTGGTGAGCTACAGTACACGGTGTCACAAAGAGTTGGATACAACTGAGTGAGTACACACCCACAACTTCTTTATTAATAGTATTTCTTAATAATTTCTCTTATTGGAGCTGCCATTCATTGAGGGGTACTCTGCCAGGCACTTATCCAAGCATTTTGTTAATATTGTATCCTTAATTCTCACCTTAATTCTGTGAGAAGTTATGAGAAAGAGAAAAGCAGCCCCTGAAATCTGAAAGTCAAGTTGGCACTCACAGTTGGCTTTATGTTCTCTTGCTAAACATAAGTATTTCACAGAATTTTCATGTCAGACAAGACCATTTTGTGTTTATGATGCATCAAGACAATGATAGGACACTCTGTAGTTGAGTTTGAACATAGGCAAAGCAAGCTAAATTATCCCATTATCCTCCCTAAAATGAGTGATGCTGATGCTGCTTTACCAAGTACAGCTCTAAGCTCTATTTAGTCTTCCCTTCTTAAAGATTAAGACAGCCAATCAGAGAACTGCTCGCTTCCTGACAGCATCCTATTCAGAGCAAAGCCAGCTTCCTGAATCCTGAAGCTAACCATACCACATCCTGTAAAGTTCTTTCTAACATCTTATTGAAAAGCCATATTGTTCCTCAAGGGAGATGTTCTTTGAGGTGCTGCTGTGAGTAGTAAACCCAACTTGTTCAGCTAGGAACAGGAGTGTTTCTAGTGGTCTATGGCTGGAAACATTAACAAGTATGAGCATTATCATTATTTTATAATTAAAGGAAGCAAAACTCAGATATTTGAGGAATAGTCCCAAGACTATAAGGTAGTGAGTAATAGAATCACAGAAAGCTAACCAAAATGATCACATGCAGCGCAGTCTTGTGTAACTCAGTGAAGCTATGAGCCATGCCGTGTGGGGCCACCCAAGATGGACAGGTCTTGTTTTCTCTTTTCCTTTATTTAATTATTTTTGGTATTTACAGCCTCGATGCCTCAGTTACTTCATCTGTAGTAAGGCAGTTAATCTCTGCTCTCCGAAGATACATCCATCGTATGTTTTCTCAGAGACAGGGACATGAAAAATGTCAAAATGGTGCTACCTGGGAGAGTAGGGCTCTCCCTTTGACTGGGGACAGTGGATTCTGAACATATTCCCACAATGCTATGCAGCTGAGAAACTCAAATAGTGAACGTGAAGTATGATGTATCCTGGGCAATACCTCCATGAGCCTTGGAGTCCTGCCTCCATCTTCATCCTACCCCTTCCTCTTTTTAAATAATATTTATTATTTATTTTTGGCTGTGTTAGGTCTTAGTTGTGGCATGCTCTGTATGGCGAGGCTCAGGCTCAGTTGCCCTGTGGCATATGATATCTTAGTTCCCTGACCAGGGATGAAACCCAGGTCCCCTGCATTGGAAGGCAGATTCTTAACCACTGGGCCACCAGGGAAGTCTCCTACCCTCTCTTCTCAGCCACCCTCATGTAGCTCACAGTCTCTGATAATCATTGCTCTTGACCTATTAGGGAAAGCAAAACAGGAGGGTGACCTGCATGCTGACCATTCTCTTATTCTTACACAAACTTCCCTCTTCCAACTCAGTAAAGGGGTACCTCCTGAGCGTGGCTACCATCCTATCAGCCTCTGCATAAACTGATGGAAGCTGAACCAAAGGGATGTCCACATCTTTGAGGCCTGAGAATCTGAAAGCTGGCAGAGGGGACTTAGCAAATGTTGCAAGAGAACCTAAAGGACACTTTGGGAGAGATGGGGGTACTTTCTTGATTGCCATCTCCCAGTGTCTCTAGGAATGTCTTAGGACAAAGAGAGCAGAATTAGTCCACAGGTTTCTTAGGAGCAGAGTAAGGACCAATGTGAAAGTCAGGGCCAGATGGGAGGGGTACTCTTACTGGTTCATTAGGACAAAAGACTTTGTATGGATGAAAGCTGCCAGCTGGCACCTGCTGCCCAAGGAAGTGTGCTCCCCATGGAAGGAGGTATAAAAACTGAGGTTGGTTGAGTATCTGACAGCTAAATATCCCTGTATTTAATTTTTTAGATGCCTTCTTCAATTTTGTGTTCACCACCAAATCCTTCATTCCAACATCCACTCATATATGTCATCAGCTCTGATGGGTCTGTTTCTTAGAGACACTAAAGGTGGCTGCCTCACTCTCCCAGGAACAGGGACTAGCAGAAGGAAGCAGGTAACTCAAGCTTTGGGACAAGGGCTCTCCTGCAAATGAGGTGTTTGCCTCACATCTCCTAGGTATCTCCTCTTCCTCTGTCTCTACTGAGGGGACTCCCAGATCTGTCTGTATTCAGGGTTGAGTGGACTTTGATGAACCAGTTGGGGTCTCCCTTGTGACGCTCAAAGGCTATGTGGAAACCGATATAAACTCCAACTTGGGAACTGGATGGAAGTTGAATCTTTGCTCTCATCTCCACATCTTTGTCTTACCTCTTCTCTCCTCCTGATAGAATCCAATCCACCCTTCCACACTCAGCTCAAACCTTGCCTCTTCTGGGAGGCTGGCCTTGACCTCTTCCGGTGACAGTTAGGGTCTCCTCTTTGGCTCCCACAGCATGCGTGTTTCTGAAATTATGTCTGCCTTCCAGCCTGGGTGGGGAGTTCTTTGCAGGTAAAGCCTGTCCTGGTCTAGAGGTGTCCAAAGTGGGGTGCCCCGGGGAACAAGAGAAAACATCTACAAACTTCTGCTTTTTTTCTCTATCCTGTGCTGTGCGGTGCTTAGTCACTCAGTCGTGTCTGACTCTTTGCAACACCGTGGACTGTAGCCCACCAGGCTCCTTTGCTGGTGGGGATTCTCTAGGTAAGAAATCTGGAGTGGGTTGCCACGCCCTCCTCTAGGGGATCTTCCCAACCCAGGGATTAAACCAGGTGTCTGGCATTGCAGGTGGATTCTTTACCATCTTAGCCACAAGGGAAGCCCGTCAATACTGGAGTGGGTAGCCTACCCCTTCTCCAGGGGATCTTTCCAACTCAAGAATCGAAGCGGGGTCTCCTGCATTGCCTGTGGATTCTTTACCAGCTGAGCTACCAGGGAAGCCCTTACTCTAGCCTATTCTTTATTAAATATACATTATTGAACATTTCAAGTGTGCATACTAGTACAACAATGTGCATATGAGTGTATGCACAAATACATATTCAAAACATTTACTAGTGTGAATGAGAGTAATCACATAGGTTTGAACGCTACTATCTTAGTCATTACTGTTTCCCTGCCTGCTATCACAGAACAAACACTAAATGCAAGATAAGAGTGATGAATGATTGAAAGAATGAGTGATGTTGCCTGGGTTTAGTCTATTATAATGTCTCATAGTTGTTAGTTGGGTGACACCGGGCAAGATATTCCCCTTTCTTTGGCTCTAAATTCCTCACTTATGAAGTAAGGACTCTGAATCAACTTCAATTCCACATGCCTTCCAGCATGAATATTCTTCAGTTCAGTTCAGTTCAGTCACTCAGTCGTGTCTGACTCTTTGAACCGCATGAACTGCAGCACGCCAGGCCTCCCTGTCCATCACCAACTCCTAGAGTCCACCCAAACCCATGTCCATCGAGTCGATGATGCCATCCAACCATCTCATCCTCTGTCATCCCTTTCTCCTCCTGCCCTCAATCTTGGCATCAGGGTCTTTTCTAGTGAGTCAGCTCTTCGCATCAGGTGGCCAAAGTATTGGGGTTTCAGCTTCAACATCAGTCCTTCCAATGAACACCCAGGACTGATCTCCTTTAGGATGGACCGGTTGGATCTCCTTGCAGTCCAAGGGACTCTCAAGAGTCTTCTCCAACACCACAGTTCAAAAGCATCAATTTTTTGGCGATCAGCTTTCTTTATAGCTCAACTCTCACATCCACATATGACCACTGGAAAAACCATAGCCTTGACTAGATGGACATTTGTTGACAAAGTAATGTCTCTGCTTTTTAATATGCTGTCTATATTGGTCATAACTTTCCTTCCAAGGAGTAAGCGTCTTTTAATTTCATGGCTGCAATCACCATCTGCAGTGATTTTGGAGCCGAGGAAAATTAAGTCAGCCACTGTTTCCACTGTTTCCCTATCTATCTGCCATGAAGTGATGGGACTGGATGCCATGATCTTAGTGTTCTGAATGTTGAGCTTTAAGCCAACTTTTTCACTCTCCTCTTTCACTTTCATCAAGAGGTTTTTTAGTTCTTCACTTTCTGCCATACAGGTGATGTCTGCATATCTGAGGTTATTGATATTTCTCCTGGCAATCTTGATTCCAGCTTGTGCTTCCTGGATGAGGTCAGAGTCATTCCTTCTCCAGGGAAGGCTCATATGATTTAGTCAATAATTATCCTAACAGGTGTTTACATTGCACTAATTACATGCAGGCTCTCTGATCTTAGGGCTCAGCATGTCCTAATTCACTTTCCTCATAACAGCCCCAGGAGGAAGAAAAGTGCAGAGATGTTAAGTAAATTATTCAAAGCCACATAGTGTGGTAGATGTGTGCCCACCGACTACTACCACCTTCGGTGTTCCTGGCTGGCTTCCAGCTGCCAGTATCTGCAGCTCTTTGCCTGAAGGATTTCTTGGGGCCACACAAGAAGCCTGTGCACCGAGGGAGCCAGAAGTCTCCAATCACTGAGTGACAGGGAGTTGGTGTATAACTGCCCTTTAACCTCTCAGGGGCGGCAACTACAAGGAAGGTGTTGTACCCCACCTGGCTCCCCCTCCCCCATGGGATGGAGGGCATCACTAACAGTGCCAGTGGGCTTGCTCCTCCATGTTCGTTGGCCACCTTTCCTGCCCTTTCTCATACCCAATAAACCATATTCCCTTTTCTTCTTGGGAACCCCAAATTAAAACAAACCCAGGCTCTGGATCTTTACAGACTGGCTGGGGAGTTGGGTTCTTAACTCTTTCTCCTTGCAAAGGACAAAACCTTTGGGACAGTCAGCTAGGCTGTCATGGTTGGGGTTCTGCCACTGTGTCCCCACCAATAAAGAAATGTTGGAGTCCTAACCCCCAGGAACGCAGAAATGAGCTTGTTTGGCAATAGGGTCTCTAGTGTGGGGATTAAGTTAAGCGTTCATTAGGATGGGCCCAAATCCAGTATGACTGGTGTCCTGACAAAAAGGGCAGATTAGGTGACAGACTGGGAGAATGCCATGTGAAGACTGGACTCATGCTGCAGCAAGCCAGGCCTTCCAGGAGCTGAGATGCTTGGAATGGATCAGGGCCTTCTGAGGGAGCATGGCCCTGCTGACCCCTTGATCTCAGACTTCTAGCTTCCAGAAGTGAGAGAGAATAAATATTTTGTTTTCAGGGAATTTCTTGGCTGTCCAGTGGTTAGGACTCCAGGCTTCTACTGCAGGGGACACAGCTTTGCTCCCCTGGTCAGGGAACTAAGATCCTGAAAGCTGCATGGCGTGGCTAAATAAATATTAGTAAATAAACCACTCAGTTCATAGTTTGTTATAGGAACTCCAGGAAACAAACCCACCGGCCAGCTGACATCTGCATACCCCTGTTTTATCCTCAAAGGATTCTCAGATGATTAAATGAAACAATGCCAGAAAAATGCTAAGCACAGAGCCTGGCACACGACAGGTGCTAAGTGGGTGGATGCTGTTCTTTAGAAGAAATAAAAGTCCCAACCCCGCCACAGTATTTCGGGGGAGGGGTTTCCTTGAGCAAGTGGGCAAGTGAGCCTCACCCTCCTTCCTTTCTCCTCCCAAGAGTCCAGGAGGATGACCAGTCCCCAGATTGATCTGGTCCAAAAAGTAAACAAATGCTTTCACAGCATGGTATCTGTCACCCAGTTTTTTGTGTTGCTTGGGGTGGCCATTAAGAGGTAGATGGGGCTTGAATGGTTTCTACACCTGGTAGGCCCAGTCTGGGGACAGAAAAAGGGGAGGTGCCTTTCACACCGCCAAATAGTGAGAAGGACCACCATTTTCATGGACCCAATGGGTTACTGTTCTTGGTTGCAGACAATGGAATTCACTCCTGTTAGTTTAATTAGAAAATGAATGTATTAGATATAAGGCCAGAGGTTGAAGCCACAAACAAATATGCAACATCACTGTGGGGCAAGGGGGCTTCTTTACTGAAAAGACTTCTGCCACCACAGATGCTCAGGGCTGGACCAGAAATTTTCCCGCTCCCCCCTCCAAGGAGAGCAGTGACGTTGGGGAGCGGGGTGAGGGCGAGGTTGCAGCGAAGAGAGAGGCAGGGTTCTGCTGAGGAGGGTAGGCTTGAGAAGGAAGCAGAAGAGACTCAAATTGCTCAGAAGCAGCCACAGCCAAGCCCTGTGTGGGGCCTCCTAGGACTTCAGCATCTCAGGGAGCACAGTTGCCGGACTCTCTGTAAGAAGAAAGAAGAAAGGAATTTGTTGACTGTCATCACCGAAGTCCCTGACCTTGACAGCATACACCCTGACAGAGTCTTGACAACCCCAGAAACGAGCGAGCGTGGTACTCCTGACACCAGGATGACCAGGAAGAGAAAAGCCCTTTTGCTCAGGAGGACGGTGGACCCGCTGGGCAGGGTGGCTGACTCGGTGTTCCCATCTGAGAAAGAGGAGCCTGTGAGTGGCTTAGATTAGCTAGAGGGTGATTCTAGGGGTGAGCTTCTGGAACTCGCCCTTGGAGAACTCGCTCAGTGTGTGGTTTCACAGGACGCTGCAGCCTCTTCCGGCAGCGGCAGGGAGGAAAGACCCGGTAGGTGGGAATGGCGTGTGGCCCCCTGAGCCCCGCCCCTCTCCCCAGCCGCTGAGCCCCGCCCCTTTCCCCAGCAGCTTCCCCTCCCACCCCGCCCTGCCCGGTCTTACCCTTGGCCCTGTTGCGGCCACCACAGGTGCTGATGCACTCCTTCTCATTCAGGAAGTTGTTCTGCTTCCTTCTGCATCCGCCGTAAGTAAAGGTCTGGCAGAGCCCGGACACGGCGTCGTAGAAGTACCTGGTGAACATGGCCCGGCAGGGACCAGTGTATGGAGGCTGCAGACAGAAGGCAGGGCGCAGGCCTGAGGGGTTGAGGGGGACAATGGGTCGGTTACGAGGATGGTCATCACAGCTCGGGCTCCAAGGTCAGCAAATGGAACCTCCGTGTCTTGAAACAGAATGGTGGGGTGGCGGTAGGGGTGGTGAGGAAAGCCTGAACTGCGAAGCCTCCACTTGAGGACCTACATTCTGAGGCATTATTAATTCTTTTACGTGTGTAGATGATTCGCTGATGGTGTAAAAAAGCCCATATACCCTTCATGAAGTATTTATGGATTTATTGGCATGATGCCTTAGATATGGGTACATAGGGTTTAATTACTATTTTCTGTACTTCTGAGTAAGGTTGAAAGTTTCCAGTATTTAAAAAAGTGAGAAAGAATCATGCTGTAATGGAGAAAGTCATGGAAAAACATACGGCATATTTTTTAAAATGTTTTTTATTTTAATTAATTGGCTGCTCTGAGTCTTTTTCACTGCAAATGGGTTTTCTCTAGTTGCGGCAAGAAGGGGTTTACTCTCTAGTTGCGTGGGCTGAGTAGTTGTGGCCCATGGGACTAGCTGCCGCACAGCATGTGAAATCCTCTCAGACCAGGGATCAAACCCGTGTCCCCTCATTGGACAGGCAGATTCTTAACCACTGAACCAGCACCAGGGAAGTCCTACAGTGTATTAACTTTGGCTATCTCATGGAGATGGGAATACTAGAATTCTGAGGGGGTGTGATGTTGTGATTTATAATATAATTAGAAATATATATTTGGTGCTAGTTCCATCCTAGCACAAAGCTCCTAAAACCCTGGGAATTTTCTAAATGAGGAGAGTGATAAAGGTGTCTTCAGTAATGTGTGATAAAGGTGTCTTCAGTAATGTGAAGAGGGTGACTTTGGAAAGCTCCCAGGTGACCCACCAAGGATGGGAGCCGGCTGCCAGGGGGACCAAGTGCCTGATCGGATGGTTGAACTATCTCCTTGGCTCTCTGAAGCCCCCACCTCCAGGGAGAAGAGGATGGGTGGAAGTTTATCAGTCACCAATAGTACATGATTTAATCAATGATGACTGAGGAAAGTGAAAGTGAAGTCGCTCAGCCGTGTCCGACTCTTTCCGACCCCATGGACTGTAGCCTGCCAGCCTCCTCCACCCATGGGATTCTCCAGGCAAGAGTACTGGAGTGGGGTGCCATTGCCTTCTCCAGGGGATCTTCCCGACCCAGGGATCGAACCTGGGTCTGCCTGCATTATAGGCAGGCGCTTTCCCGTCTGAGCCACAGACTGTATGAGTCACCGTGACTGCAAGAGGAAGCCTCCAGCAAAAACAGGAAAGGACTGCATCTGAAGAGTCTCCCGGTCGGTGAACAGGAGCGGGCCTCCCTGTGGCTCAGATGGTAAAGCGTCTGCCCGCAATGCGGGAGACCCGGGTTCCATCCCTGGGTCGGGAAGATATCCTGGAGAAGGAAATGGCAACCCACTCCAGTACTCTTGCCTGGAAAATTCCATGGATGAAGGAGCCTGGTAGGCTACAGCCCATGGGGTCGCAAAGAGTCGGACACGACTGAGCGACTTCATTAAATCACTACTAAACAGGAGCAGGTTCAGGGAGTATGAGCAAGAGACAGCATGGAAGCTCTGTGCCCTTTCTCCATATCCTGCCTTGTGCAGGATCCATATTCCAGGTTGTCTTGAATTATATCCTTTTATGAAAATCTGGTGCGTGCCTGCGTGCTACGTCGCTTCAGTCGTGTTCGCCTCTTTGCGACCCTATGGAGTGTGGCCTGCCAAGTTCCTCTGTCCATGGTGTTCTCCAGGCAAGAATACTGGAATGGGTTGCCAAACCCTCCTCCAGGGGATCTTACAGATCCAGGGATGGAACCTGCATCTCCTGGGGCTTCTGCATTGCAGGCAGATTCTTTACCACTGAGCTACTGGGGAAGCCCTGATAAACTGTTAATCTTGTAAGTAAAATGTTTCCCCAAGTCTGTGCTGCTCTAGCAAATTCACAACTCCAGGGGGGTCGTGGGAAGCTCTGATATACAGCTGTTGGTAGAAGCATGAGTGACAGGCTCACGGAGTGTATTTAGAGTCTGAACCTGTAATTAGAGTCTGAAGATGGGAGGAGACTTGTGGGCCACAGTCATTAACTGGTGGAAATCTGACACTATTTCCAGGTTGCTAGCGTCAGAACTGGTATGATGCAAAGACAGCCAGTTAGTGTTCCCTGAGAACTGGACAATTGGTTGGTGGCTTGGGAAAACAAACACACAGCAAAAGGAGGAGTCTTAAAAACTTTCCTTACACATCTTTATATCCTCTCAAGTTCCTGTGAGCATGTATTCCTTTTGCAATTATGAAAGAAGACATATTTAAAATAAAATATACCACAATTTTTATAAGCAAGTAATGCTGTACAAGAGTATTTATCGACATCAGAAAATGGTTGAAGTGTATTGTGGAGTAAAAGTGCTCCATCAAGTGATGTGTTTTGTTAAGGATAAAACTTCTGCCCTGAGGATATGGGTGTTAATCCCTTTTTAGCAACAGATCCCTTCTTTCAAAAGGAAATTTAGAAGAAATCTGGGTTTTGGGTAGTCCCCATCCTTAGCCCTCTCACTACCCACCCCCCAGAGTCATTTTCCCACCCCTCTTACACCCAAGTCTCAAGGAACATCTAGTGCAAACCCCTAGACTATATTCTTTAAAGTCTTAGAGGAGCCACTCTTTGGCTGTGTGACCTTAGGTGAGACAAGTAACCACTCTGAGCCACAGCATCATCATCATCGAAATGAGCATAATAACCCCAACCTCAGGAACTTGTTGAGAGAATTAGAGATGATGTCTGTCAAGTAACTGGTAATCAATCAATACTCAATAAACACTAGTTATTACAGTAATTGTTAAATGTGCTCATTAAATTAATTTAATGGCAGGGCAGAATCCAAACTAAAAAATCACTCATGGACACAATTGCCCATTAAAGTCCTTTAAGCTTCCCCCGTCTATGCACAATAGAGAAGTCTCCAGGGACCACGCTGGACACCAACACAGCCAGTTTTCCCAACACTGGGAAATGTGATCCTTCTTTTCTGGAGCTTCAGATTAAGTAAATACCTTCATTATAACACTCAAGCATATCAAGAACACATATTTATTCTATGCAACATTTAAAAATATGTATTGGTTCAGGCCTGTTTAACGTGTGAGGGGGAGGTGGTGTCTTCCGGCGGGGTCGAGGGGCAGCAGCGTACGGTTAAGGACATCGGCCGTGGGGTTTGAACCCTTTGAAAGATTGAAATCATGGCAGGTCCAGAAGCTGATGCCCAGTTCCATTTCACTGGTATCAAAAAATATTTCAACTCTTACATTCTCCCAGGGAGAATGAATTGTGTGCTGGCCACATACGGAAGTATTGCTTTGATAGTCTTATACTTCAAGTTAAGGTCTAAAAAAACCCCAGCTGTGAAAGCAACATAAACAGATTCTGAACTGTACATTATCNACTCTTACATTCTCCCAGGGAGAATGAATTGTGTGCTGGCCACATACGGAAGTATTGCTTTGATAGTCTTATACTTCAAGTTAAGGTCTAAAAAAACCCCAGCTGTGAAAGCAACATAAACAGATTCTGAACTGTACATTATCTGTTAAGTTCCCATGCCTGAAGAAGCTAATGTCAACTCATCACGTGATACTCAATTTGTACAATAAATTATGAACCTGGAAAAAAAATATGTATTGGTTCAGAAATTGGAAAAATAATTAATATATAGTTTAGATGTACGTTGTCAAAATGTAAACTATCTTGAACATTTAGGATGGGAACTCAAAAGTCTCTGAGTTATTCAATATGTTTATACATCCACAGACTTCTTGATCCCTTAAATAAACCACCAATAAATAGGAAAAAGAAAATCCTGTGAAACTCAGGCTAAAAAAGATCACATAAATGCCCAGAGAGAAGAGGGAAAGCTCTCATTTTCGAGAAAACCTTTGCATCAATTAGAAAGTTGCTTTCCTTAAAGCCTAAAGAATGGCAATTCTCTATTTAAAAGAAGAGTTTCCTCTGAAGGAGCAAGTTACATCTGATAGAAGATAACATTTTCACTTGAAATTGGGAATGAGGTGTATTCAAGTCTCAGTGTAAAACTCTTGGTCCCAGCTGAGCAGGGCCAGGCTTGGGGTGAAGCAAAGAGGCAGGTCAGGCAAGTGAAGGGTCACATCCTTTTCATTTAAAACTTTCATATTGGGTCAGTAGTAATGAATCTGCCTGCAATGCAGGAGACTGGGGTTTGATTCCTGGGTTGGGAAGATCCCTTGGTGAAGGAAATGGCAAACCACTCCACTCCAGTATTCTTGCCTGGAAAAAAACCCCATGGACAGAGAAACTTGATGGGCTGACTACAGTCCATGGGGTTGCAAAGAGTCAGACAAGAATAATCGACTCAACAGCAACATTGCAAATCAATTATGATCTATCTGCGTTATTAAGTTTTTTAGCTTCCCTTTAAATCCTGGGCTGAGTGAGGGCCTCACTCACCTCACCTAAATTGCAGCCCGTGGCGAAGGTGGAGCCTGTCCCCTCTGGAGGCTGAGGAGCTGAGGAAAGGGAAGGCTGTGCTTCCGGAGGGCAGCCCTACCTGCGGGGTAGCTCTGCCTAGGTGATGCTAGATGCTAGATCGCTTCAGTTGTGTTTGACTCTTCGATCCTGTGGACCATAGCCCTCCAGTCTCCTCTCTGTCCGTGGGATTCTCCAGGCAAGAGTACTGGAGTGGGTAGCCATTTCCTTCTCCAGGGGATCTTCCCAACCCAGGGTTTGAATCTGAGTCTTTTATGTCTCCTGCGTTGGCAGGTGGGGTCTTTACCCCTGAGCTACTGGGGAAGCCCCAAGCTCTGCCTGAGGCTGCACTGTTCCCTCCTCATCTCTGGATGAACAAGGTTGTGAGTTCACGTACATTAAGACCTCAAAGTAGAAGCATTTATCCCTAATCTTCGGGTTTCTAGATTTGAAATCTTGATTTACCCTTAACATTTATATATTTTTTAATTAAAGGATAATTACTTAACACTATTGTGATTTTTGCCATACATCAACATGACTTGGCCATAGGTATATATATTCTCTCCCTCTTGAACTCCCTTACCACCTCCCTCCCCATTCCACCCCTCTAGATTGTTACTGGCTTGGGGTTCCCTTGTCTTATGTCATACTCCCACTGGCTATCTAGTTTACATATAGTAATGTGTGTGTTTTAATGCTATTCTCTCAAATCATCCCACCCTCTCCTTCTCCCACTGTGTCCGAAAGTCTGTTCTTTGTGTCACTCTTGTTGCCCCACATAGAATCGTCAGTACTATCTTTCTAGATTCTATATATATGTGTTGATATATGATATTTGTCTTTCTCTTTCTGACTTCACTCTGTATAATAGGCTCTAGGTTTATCTACCTCATTAGAACTGACTTGTACATGTTCCTTTTTACAGCTGAGTAATATTCCATTGTGTATATGTACCACAACTTCCTTATCCATTCATCTGCTGATGGACATCTAAGATGCTTCCATATCCTTGCTACTGTATTTATTTGGCTGTGCCAGGCCTTTGTTGAGGCACTCGGGATCTTCTCTACTTGTGGCATATGGGATCTAGTTCCTTGACCAGGGGTTGAACTCATGCCCCCTGTTGAAGCCTTAGCCACTGGACCACCAGGGAAGTCCCTTGATTTACCTTTTGATATTTTTATTTTCTAAGGTTTATGTATAAAACTAGTATAATGAACATTTCTAGTATAATGAACGTATACTAACGCATTTGTGTATCAGAAAACAGCAAAGATGCTTAATTGTTTAATTAAGCAACAGAATTATCCTGAACAGGGCAAGCCATTCATGTTACTCAAGGGAACTGGCGTCAACCCAAGAAGTAACTCAGCTACACTCTGTCGTGGCTCATTGGACCGACCACTGCAGGAGCTGCTCACCCGGCCTCTCTGTGTCCTTCGCCCCCTAGAGGCCACTCTCTGCACTGCAGCCGCAGGGATCCAGTCGTAACTTGAGTCCTACCGGTGGCTCCTGTGACCACTCCCAATCTCAGTGACTCCCCAGCTCTCTCAGGGTCAAATTCTGATTCTTGTAAAACCCTAGGAAGCGCCTCACGACCTTCCCCCATGGCGTCTCTGCCTTAGCCCCCTCCTCTCCCCTCTGCTCCACCAACTCAGTTCCAGCCATCCTGGGCCTGGCTGCCGCTCAAACACCTCCTTATCACTGAGGGTTTTGCTAACGGGTCTGCAGAAAGAGCATGGATTCCTTTCCCCCATCAATCTCTACAATCAAAACACTTGTCATGAACTGCCGTAGTATTTCAGCTACTCAGTTGTCTGTCTCCCTTCTAGGGTGCACTGGTTCTTGTGCTACATTTTGTTCCTAGCTGTGTCCTCACACAAAGAACAATGGTTTGCCGGGCCTTGATAAATATGTGTCAAGTGAATGAATCTCCCACTTCAGGTGCTTGCTGGGTGCAGTCATTGAGTAGAATGAATATAATTAAATTCCTGAAATGTCTGAAGCTGGGCAGGAGCTTATGGAGTTCTGGGCACAAAAGCCTTTCCCTGTCCCCAGTTTGTTTCTTATTTGCAGGAAAAAGACTTCAGCCGCCTAGACTTTCCAGAATACCAAAGGGCAGATTCAAGCAGTAGCTAATCAAGAAAGGGAGGGGAAGCAGAAACAAAGGAGAAGCAGTCAAGAAACAATAGTGCACAGTGGGGCAGGGCAGGGTCAGGTCCAGGCTCCTCCAGAATGAATGCTTATCCGTATCTTTGAGTTCTTTTGCAGCAACTAAATTCCCTACCCCTGTGGAGGAAGGTAACTTCTGGCTGAGCACAAGGTTCTTGGAACACCAACCATTCAGAAGAAAGTCACACAATCACACACCTGCAGCTTTCACCCCAAATCTTGCATGTAAAAGCTTCTCTCCGGGGGAGTTAGGGGTTTTTAAGGCCTGAGCCACTCTAGTCTCCTTGCATGGCCCGGCAATAAACCTTTCTCGGCTCCAAACTCAGACTTCTCGGTTTGCTTAGCTTCACTGTGAGTCAGGCACATGGACTTATCTTTAGTAGCAGCACATCTAGAAAACTATATATCTACTCCAACATTCCATATCCTGAGATGATAATAAAATAATAGACAAGGGAATAAAGGGAAAGGCCTTGAGCCATCACAAATATTCTAACATCCTGGGAGAAGTATAACCTTGTCCCCATGAGCAAAAGTCATGGAAGTGTTGCATTCTTGCAATAATAATGGAGAAATAATATTGTTGTTGAAGCATTCAATGGTGTCCGACCGAGTCTGCCATCCCATGGACTGTAGCTTGCCAGACTCTTCTGTTCATGGAATTTTCTGGGCAAGTATACCGGAGTGGGTTGCCATTTCCTCCTCCAGGGGATCTTCCTGACCCAGGGATCGAACCCACATCTCCATGTCTCCTACATTGCAGGTGGATTATTTACAGCTGAGCCACTGGGAAGCCCAATAATATCATTATTTGACCCCTACATATTTTTTTCTTGGGGGTAAGTAGGCAAAAATTCTTCAGACTAAGGCATTTTGGTGGAAAATGTACGTTATCAGGCGTGAAATGTGAAAAAAACTCTATATTCATGATTGATAATTCCTTGCAAGAACTTGTTTGGTAGTTTTCCTTTGTAGAGGTGAGAAAACTGCAGCAAAGTGACTGACCTCAGGTCACAGAGGAGGCGAGTGGTAAGGTTGGGTCAATGTATAATCCTGTTACAACCCATGTGACGAAGCACCTGCCGTCTGCAGGGAATTGTTACAATCTAGGTGACTGGTAAGAGTTTCTGGGAACACTGCCCTCCACTTTTACTCACCTGTATTTGAGCCTCCTTCCAGCCATCAAAGCCCAGGGATATACGAGTCTGAGCTTCTTCTGTACACCAAACATGTGGCATCTCTTCCAACACCAACCAATTCTCCAGCCCAATGCGGTGTCCCTTAAGTCAACTCACTTCAGACTCTAAATCTGCAGAGTTAGCCTCGACTCCCCAGGGTGAGGGCTCAACCCCACAAGACAGCCCCACTTCAAATGCCAGCCACATGTCCCTGGGGTCCCACAGACCTCTCAGCAACTGGCTAGAAATTCAGGGGCTGTGTGACTCCCACTCTCAAGTTCCAATAATTGACTATAATGTCTCACACAACTCTTTTATTTAGTGGATAAAGGATAAAACTCAGGGGCTTCCCTGGTGGCTGAGTGGTAAAAGAACCTGCCTGCCAATGCAGGAGACATGGGTTTGATCCCTTACTCAGGAAGATTCCACGTGCCACGGGCAGCTAAGCCCATGCGGCATAGCTACTGAGCCTGTGTTCTAGAGCCCAGGAGCCGCAACTGCTGAGCCCAAGTGCCCTAACTACTGAAGCCCAGGTGCCCTAGAGCCTGTGCTCTGCTCACCGCAGGGAGAAGCCTGCTCTCTGCTATTAGAGAAAAGCCCTCTTGAATGTTCCCCACCCAGGAAGCTCTGCGATTCCTCAAGTTTAGGGGTTTTTATTCACTGGGTTGGCAAATGGTTTGACTCATTAGCTGTTGGAGACTTGACTTCTATCCCAGTACCCTCCCTTCCCCAAGGAGGAGCTGGGGGCTGAAAATTCTAATCTTCTGATCACCTGGTGGATGTCCTGGAGGGCAGTCCCACCCAGAAGCTATTGAGGGCTCAGATGGTAAAGCGTCTGTCTACAATGCGGGAGACCTGGGTTTGATCCCTGGGTTGGGAAGATCTCCTGGAGAAGGAAATGGCAACCCACTCCAGTATTCTTGCCTGGAAAAATCCCATGGATGGAGGAGCCTGATAGGCTACAGTCCATGGAGTCTCAAAGAGTCCAACACAACTGAGCAACTTCACTTTCCTTAACATACAAAAGGCAGCAAATTCCAAGTTTCAGGAGACCTGGACCATAAACCCGGACAAGGGTCAAATAGCGATCTTTTTGTTACGCGACAGTCAGGTTCGAGGACCAGGCAGTGACCAGGAATAGAGAGTCTCAGAGATGCGGCCCCTGATCTGGTAGAGTTATGCAAGATAATTTTTTAAGCTGAAAGCATAATGATTTTCTTTTTGAGAGCCATGAAATGTCCCTGGAGTGAAAATTGCTCCTGTTTCCCAGGAGATATCCAGAGAGGGTTGGCAACGCTCGCCCCACCCCTGCTCCCCAGCCCCTTCCAAGGACTCCCCTTTTCCCTCCACCTGGTCTGTAGAGGAGACAGGAGCTGGGACTTACTGTCCTTGTTGCTGTCGTCACCCTCTGGGGTGCCGGCCACCAGGGTGCCCAGGAGGACCAGAAGGGCTGCGGAGAGGCAGAGCCGGCTCATCTTCGTGGCCTTGCAGGAGGGCTCCTGAGGATGCTGGGGGCTGGCTGGGCTTTTCACACCCCTGGTGAGGGGTGGGATCAGGCGATGAGCAGGGAAGGGTAGGGGGAAAGGGGAGGGGCTAGGGTCAATCCTCTCCACGTTCGACCTCCACACCTAACCAGACTTCTTCCTGCATCTTCCTGCTGGGGCCCAACGCCCAGTAGCAGTGCTTCTCAGACTTCGTTCTGCCATTGGGTCTTGTGGAAATAAATGCACATTCTGATTCCCCAGGTCTGGGTGAGGCCTGAGAAGCAGCATTCCTAATAGGCTCCCTGTTACAGGTGTGTCCCCAGGCCATTTCCTCTCCTATTAAATGGTCCTCAGAACCGCGCTTTGAAAGCGAGCCTGCAGGAGCCCTCACCGGGGCAGGCGGGGAAGGGCAGTAGGCAGAAAAAAGCTGCCTTCCCCACGCACCCTGGGAACGTGAAAGAGGAGCCTAGGTCAAGAAGGGGCGACTCTCAGAAAACCCCACATTCTCTCCTCTAACCTGCACACTGGAGGCATTTGTCTTCTGTTGCAAAAAATAAACACGAGTGCCTCCCCGCTCCCTGAAGATGAAGTGATCCATCAGATTTCCATGTGCTGGTACCACACCAGGCTGTGTGCACAAGTGTGTAGTCTCCACACAACCACGTCACCCCCACCCAGTTACCGTCGAGACCCTTGGGTCTAGATTCGAGTGAATTGCCAGGACCCTCAAAGCAGTGGCAAACACCCTCGGAAGATGAAAACCTCAGTTCTTTTTTGTTTTAACTTTTTATTTTAGATTGGGGTACAGCTGATTAACAAACAATGTTGTGAGAGTTTCAGGTGAACTGTGAAGAGTTTCAGCTGTATAGATACATGTATCCATTCTCCCCCCAAACTCCCTTCCCACCTAGGCTGCTACATAATATTGAGCAGAGTTCCATGTGCTTGCTATACAGGAGGTCCTTGTTGGTTATCCACCTTAAATATAGCGGTGTGTACAGGTCCATTGCAAACTCCCTAACTGTCCTCCCCCCCATCCTTCCCACACAACCATGAGCTTGTGCTGGACGTCTGTGAGTCTATTTCTGTTTTGTAAGTAAGTTCATTTGTATCCTTTCATTTTAGAGTCCACATACAGGGGATGTCATACAGTATTTTTCCATCTTTGTCTGACTTTCTTTACTCATTATGACACCCTTTAGGCCCATTCATGTTGCTGCACATGGCATTATTTCATTCTTTTTTAATGGCTGGGTAATATTCCACTGGCGCTTCCCCGGCGGCTCAGTCAGTAAAGAATCTGCCTGCAATGCAGGAGACATGGGTTCAGTCCCTGGGTTGGGAAGATCCCCTGACAAAAGTAATGGCAACCCACTCCAGTATTCCTGCCTGGAGAATCCCATGGACAGAGGAGCTTGGCAGGCTACAGTCCATGGGGTGGAAACAGTCGGACACAACTTAGTGATTAAACCACCACCACCAATATTCCATTTAGACCTCAATGCTTATTTTATTGGAGAAGGCAATGGCACCCCACTCCAGTCCTCTTGCCTGGAAAATCCCATGGACGGAGGAGCCTGATGGGCTGCAGTCCAGTCCATGGGGTCGCTAAGAGTTGGACACGACTGAGTGGCTTCACTTTCAATTTTCACTTTCATGCATTGGAGAAGGAAATGGCAACCCACTCCAGTATTCTTGCCTGGAGAATCCCAGGGACGGGGGAGCCTGGTGGGCTGCCGTCTATGGGGTCGCACAGAGTCAGACACGACTAAAGCGACTTAGCAGCAGCAGCAGCTTATTTTATGCTGGAGATAAACTCAGCTGAGATGTTGGATCCCAGGGTATGATGACTGCATGTTTCACAGTGAGGGGAAACATGTCATGTGCTCCCCCGCAAACAGGCCACATGGTGCGTGGGTTATTTTGAACTGAAGACATTTGAGACCCAAAAGACTCAGGAAGAGCTGATTACTACTCCCTTAACTGCCTAAAAGATTTAGTTAGAGGGCCTGTATCTGGAAGGGAACTAACTCCAAAGATAACTTTTAGTATCAAAAACACTTATCTAGCTGCATGACATGGTAATCATTTGTTAACCAAGTATCTGCTTTTCTCATCTTCCTGGAATGTAACTTCCTCCCCTTTGAGCCCCAATCCTCACTCTCTTCTCCTTCACTCTGAGTGGCATATAAGCCTCAATTGCCTGACCATGTCTTTGGGGATGATGTATGTATGAAATTTGTTTTTCTCCCGTTCATCTGTCTTATGTCAATTAAATTACCACACCAGCCAAGGACCCTAGAAGAGAAACAGGGAAAGGTTTCCTCCCCTACAATAGTAGGAGGACCCAGGTTTGGCAAATTACCCATTGTTCCTGGGCCTTGGTGCTTCATCTGTAAAATGGGATTATTTATCAAATCAGCCCATGTCTTTGGGATGCTGTGAATGCATTTGAGACTAATGAACACAGAATGCTTAGCTCTGTGCCTCTAAGAAGTAAATGGTCAAAGATTCAGGCCTCCTCTTATGATCATCAATGGGACACCCAACTCCTAGTAGGAACTTCTGGGTCTGATCTCAGACCTGTGTTGAAATAAATATCTAGACTCAAGATGAGTCACTCCAGGGACTTCCCTGGTGATCCAGTGAAGAATCCACCTTGCAATGCTGGGATCATGAGTTTGACCCCTAGTTGGGAAATTAAGCTCCCACATGCCATGGAGCAACTAAGACCCAATGAAGCCAAATAAATAAATCTTACACACACACAAAAAAAGACGAACCACTCCAGCCTGGGGTGCTGGGTCAGCAAACCAAAACTTAACTCTGTCCCTGTAAATGCTCTGAGGTTCTCTGGACCCTTGGGGATAGAGACTGCCCACTTTATGAAGTGTTCAATAGAGTTTCTATGTTCTTTGACCATTTTTTAAATGAGGTGTTTTATTTTGCTCTGTTTATTTATTTCTGGCTGCACTGGCTCTTCGTTGCTGTGTGAAGGCCTTCTCCTCCTTGTGGTGCACGGGCTTCTCATTGCAGTGGTTTCTCTTGTTGTGAAGCACAGGCTCTAGGCACATGAACTTCAGTAACTGCAGCACTCAGGCTCCGTAGTTGTGCACATGGGCTTAGCTGCTCATTGGCACGTGGAATCTTCCCAGAGCAGGGATCGAACCCATGTCCCCTGCATTGGCAGGTAGATTGTTAACCACTGGACCACCAGGGAAGTCCTTTAATTGTTTTAAACAAGGGAATTGCCTCTTTCCCTCTAGGGGTCTGGGGCTTCCCTGACTAAGGTCAGCCGTGTAGGTGGTATATGCCCATGTGACTGACCACAGTAAAAAAAACCCAAGACTCTCAGACAGGAGTAAGCTTCCCTGGTTGGCAACAGCTTGGACGAGTTGGGATGACAGAATCAAGCAGATTCTGTGTGACTGGACAGGGAGAAAAGTGAAAGTGAAAGTTGCTCAGTCGTGTCCGACTGTTTGAGTCCATGGACTGTTGTTGTCCACCAGGTTCTTCTGTCCATGGAATTCTCCAGGCAAGAATACTCGAGTGGGTAGGGTTGTCATGCCCTTCTCTGGGGGATCTTCCTAATCCTGGGATCGAACCCAGGTCTCCCAGATTGCATGCAGATTCTTTACTGTTCGAGCTTCTTGGACATCCGGACAGGGAGATTTGGAAGCTTGTGTTTGTGTTCCTCCAGTTTCACTGTCTGCATGTTCCCCCTTCTGCATTTCCCCCTTTGTTGACTGGACGCTTGATCTATTAGCTGTAAACTTAAGTATCAATACATGTTAGTGTTCTGTGAGTCCTTTTATGAACTAAACCTGAGTGGTCTTGGGCATTCCAAACGCAAGTAGTTACCATTACTGGGGCTTCCTTGGTGGCTCCGATGGCAAAGAATCTACCTGCAATGCAGGAGACCTGGGTTCAATCTCTGGGTCAGGAAGATCCTCCTGGAGAAGGAAATGGCAAGCCACTCCAGTATTCTTGCCTGGAGAATTCTATGGACAGAGGAGCCTGGCAGGCTACAGTCTGTGGGATCGCAAAGAGTAGGACATGACTGAGAGATTAACACTTTCACTTTCCCATTGTTACCCCCAAAGAGAAACTGTATCCACAAAGGTTAAATAATTTGCCTGAGATCAAACAGATAGTGACTAGCAAAGCTGGAAATTAAAATTTTCTGACTTCATAAGACATACTTATTATTTTTTTTTTGTATAGCAAAGTTTTATTGAAGTGAAAAGAGACAGAAAAGCTTCTGACTAGACATAGAAGATGGACAGAGAATGCCCCCCCCTGCTAGTGTTAGCAAGGGAGTTATATACTTTTTTAATTGGTTATTATAGTAAATCAAAAGAATGTCTCAAGTTTGTAAAGATCTTACTAGACCCACTCCCACAATTTACATTTTAAGATAACAGGATTAGCCAGAAGGTTTTCAGGAAGAAGAAACTGTCCTCAAGCAGGATACATTGTTGTCATATAATCCTTAGTACAGAGTTTAAACTGAGTTGTTTGTTGTGTAATCATCAGTTTCAGGCTTAAAGAAAAAAATGTTTTATGTGACTAAGACTAAAGAATGTAGAGGAAAAAAAAAAAAGATGTTTGAGATGTTTGTCCTTTCCTCCTCCTTGAGAATTCCAGATCCCTACCTCTGCTTTGAGAGCCTCAGACCCCTTTCTCCTCCTTGGGGACCCCGAACTTTTTATCAACCTGCCTAGGAATTGACTATCTCATTCCCCCTTTTTCTTTGAAGAGAATTATGCTGCCAAGGGAAAGGGGTGTCGTTTTCATTCCATAACTACTTCCTGCTGTTGAGGGGCATGGTTCCTAGATTGTTGAGGCATCATATTCTCCTAACCCTCATATTGAGAGTCTCTGATCCAGGGACCCCAAGTAATAGTTGGAGGAGGTTGTGGCACTCGTAGGAACTTGGATAACCACTTGTAACTTAAAAGCTTTCAGACAGTTAGAAACAAACCCTATTT